TCCCGCTGCTGCCTGCATTTTAATTGGAAATTAGGAAATATCCCATCCTTGCTCATTTATCCTGTCTGGCCTGGCTTTCCCCATCTCTCTGGAATGGCTTGCTCCTTGTGCTCCCCACAGTCTCACATTGCTCTGGGAGCATCAGGAGCAGGAGACAAAGTTCTGATTTTAACTTTTTTGCAGTTCCCCCTCTGTCTGTCTTGTTCTCTGTGTCTCCATCTCCATGTTTAAAACTGGGAACTGTGTATCTGGAAGTCTTCTTTTACAATCCCAACCCACTCCCTAGATTTCAGCCTGAAAATACCCCAAATTTGAAGAGTTTTAAATCCACCTTTCCACAGTTTTGGCACAACATAAATAACTTTATGAGCATTATACTTCTTGACTTTGTTCTTTCCTCCTTTCTGGCTTGATCTCCCAGCAGCTGAGGGCTGTGAACCTGCTCTTGGTTGCATTTGATTGTGTGATTGAAAATGAGTGGTTTAGCCATGGAGACGTAGCCTGGAATAGAGCAAAACAGATTCCTGTAAAAGGGGAAGCTGCTCTCACTTGTCTGATCAGGAGCAAATACATGGATTACTCCTGGACTTCCTTCTCATGGACTTTAAAGCTCGTTTGACAGGTCATTCACCTCTTCCTACTCTTTGGGCTCAGCTCTATCTCCCAGCAAGGCAGGGAGATGTGAACCAGGCTGGGCAGGGATACCTGGAGCCACCTGCAGTTCTCTCCTTTCACCTTCTGGTCTTGATGTGATGTGAAGTGCAGACATGACTGACATCATAGCCAGGCTGATGTAATACTTATTTTATTTTATTTTATTTTTATTTTTTATTTTATTTTTATTTTATTTTTTATTTTATTTTTCATTTTATTTTTTATTTTATTTTATTTCCTATTTTTCATTTTTATTTTTTATTTTTATTTTATTTTTATTTTATTTTATTTTATTTTAGTATGTTTCTGAAAAAATCTGCAAGGATTCATCTCACTGCTGCCTGCCTGAGATGGCGTATTTCTGTATTTTGAGCATATTCTGCAATACTGTAAATCTTTAGTCATGTCAAAAGCATTGAAATGTATCCATTGTTCTCTCCAAAAATCAGGTGATACACTGGATTTTTTAATTTTTGTTTCTATTTACCTTGAGCAGCTGTCACTGTGCTGTTAAGACTTTTGCATTTCACAAAACATTCCCAAGGGGACTAAGCTGGGAGTTAAGTGACAAACCTGCTTCTGACTTCTGCTGATTTGTTTAATCCATATGCCAAATATTAGCTGAAAAGCATTAGTATTGATCTCTCCTTACAAAGCATTTTGAGATATTCAGGGCAAATACTTAAGCTAAGCACAATTTGGTTCCCTCTCTCTTCCTTCGTTTGTCCTTTCCTAATTAACCAGTGTAAGGCTGGGCTCTACCCAAGGGAAGCTTTGGCTGATATCAATGCATTGTGCTCTCCATAGCCTGCAGTAGTTCTGCATTTCTTGGCCTTGTTTGATTTTGGTCTTGTTTGCTTTGAAAGGTAAAAATTCTGTCTGGGAGGAGACTTAGCTGCAAAAAGGAAAATTGCTCATCACAGGTGTAAGTAACTGAGCCTGTATCTGTAATTCCCATTTACTGGAAAATGGAAAAATGCAGCCGCAGTGAAAAGTGGGAAAGGCCAGCAGCTGCTGTTTCTTTCAATTTCTGGTCACCAGTGACTTTGGCTGGTACATCAACTACTGAGCATTGCAGGACGAAAACATGCATTTTGTGTTAAAATTGTGCTCCTTTTTTATTGCCCAGGAGACTCAAACAGATCTTGATGCACGTCCAAAATCCCGAATTAAAGAACAAATGTTCTGGGGGGGGTTTCTGTGGGTTCGTCTTGCCGCAAGCTCCCTTTGAGCATTCTTGCCCTTGTGCACTTTGTTCTGTGCCCTGATGGGCCAGCTGGAGAATTTAGGAGGGTGAAGTGAAAACATTATCAAGTGAAAACATATCATACCCTTCAGCTTTACTGCTCCCTCTGAGTGCTTGCTGGAGCTGATTGGAGGCAATGAAACGCCACTCAGGGTCTCTCTGAGGCAAGAACCCTCATCCTTTTCAGTTTGGCGTGGCTGAGATGGGAACAGTGAGGGAGGAAGTTTTCAGTGCCTCCCCTCTGCATCCAGGGCAGCCTGAGCTGTGGGGCTCACTAACACTTGGGAGGATGTAGAGCACACCCAAGCTGGGCAGGGCTGGCAGCAACTTTTCCTCTTCAAACCCCAGAGTTACTGGGTGACTTTTAACTCCTGCTGTGCTGCTGAAAGCCCACAAAGCTACTCTGCCCTTTTGGGGATCTTCAGCTCTGAGGAAAACTGGGATTTCATCATGCCTGGAGTGTGATAGGTGGCACCTCAACATTTCAGGATACTTGGCTGAGACTCATTCACCAGGAGCAGGAGCTTGGAGCACAAGCTTGGAACAGAACTGAAAATTCTGGATCTGCTCTGAGGACAGGGCTGTGTCTAGAACAGCCCAGCTGAATTTCATGATGGGTTTTGATGCTTTAAATTGTGAGTGACACGTGAAAGGAACAGGCTGGGTTCTGTCTAGGGCATGTATTCATTCCCTATTCATTCATTGGCACTGGCATTCAATTTTTGGCAAAAAGCTTTGGTCAAGAAACCAACCCAGCTACAAGGGCAAACCCAGCTCCATAAAACCAGCTCAGGTCTCCACAGAGCCTGGCCAGGGCTGAGTGTGGCATGAGGGCAATGAGCAGGATGCCCTCTTGGTAGCAGCCTAATTTTGGGGTGCTTTAAAGCCATCAGGGATCAGCAAGCACTGCCAGAACCCTCATCAGATGTTTTGGATCACTTGGGAAGGATTTGCCTGGTGGTTTTTGGCTGTCAGTTTGTCTTTGGTAGAGAAACAGGCACCTGTCAGCACTGTTTTTATTAATAGATGGAATCACATAGGTTCAAAATTATACTGGCTTTTAGCTTTTGTCTCTGAGCTTTTTATAAGTACTTATTTTCTAAATTTTCAGACAAACAATCTGCTCCCCAAAAAAGGCTTGGTTGGGTGACTGAAAAATTGTGGATATGATTTTTCCTGGAAAATGAATTGACAGCACAGCGAGCATTGCAAACTTTTTGTTTGTAGGTCTTTTTTCGCAGTTTTTACCCAAACCTAGCTATAATCCTGAACTAGAAGACCAGATTAACTAGGATTCATGTGGGAATATTGAGCTGAAATCTTGTAGTTTGTCTTTTGCTAGTCAGGTATATTTATCAGTGATCTCTGATGGTCCAAAAAAAGTACATGAATCCCAAGCCCACAAATCCCAAGTGAAGGTGTAGCATGGTTTGGCTTTGATATGTGACTTTATTTGCACAGAGGGAGAGAGAAAAAACATGGTTGGGAATTGCAGAGGTACTTAATGTTGTGATTTTAAGAACTGAGAATCCCTAATTCCCTCAGCTTTTCAATTTATTGGTCTTTGAAGTAACATAAAGGTTCTGATTAAAAAAGGTGAATGCCAAGCTCCCCTCCCTCAATGTGAGGGTGGATGGTGGCTTTTAAAGCATAATAAAACTGAGGTGAGTGTTTTGCTGGTGCCATTCAGGATCTTTCATAACCTTTTGGGGAAAAGGCAGGCAATAATGGGCTTACCTTGAGAATTAAATTTGATTTTTTTTTGTTGTTGTTGTTGTTACAGCAAACTTGGAGTAATTGGAATTATAATAGATTAAGACTGCTGAAAAATAAGTTTGTTGGAAAATCAAAATTCCTGCTCAACTATCCAAACATAAATACATTAGTTCCATGTTAAAACTAATCTGTTTTCAGTCAAGAACAATTGGTTCAGAAGAATAGTGCATGAATTATAAGATTTATGAAGTTTCATGTTTCAAGACATTGTGTCTTGTTTAGAATATGACACCATGAATTTTATTGAGCTTAGAGGTTTTCCAGTTTTACTGCAGTGACCTTGCAAACTGTTAGGATGTGACCCTCGAAAGCACAGCTCATTGTATTTTAAAAAACCAAAGCACAAAAAAAAAAAAAAAGCCAAACCCCAAAAAACCAATCCCATTTAAATCTTGTTTTTTTTCTACTGATTTCTACAGCACTGAGCACACTTTGGTTTACGAGCATTTCATTCTCCCAGTGCGCAGCAAAAGCAGGGACAGACCAGGCTGACTAACATTGATTAATGTTTTATTAATCTGCCATTATTTTGGGGCCAGCAGGAACAGGCCCTGCCTGCTACAACAGTTTGGGACAGTTAGTGATTCCATGGCTTTGTTTTTCTCGCTGCAAAGCTTTGGGACACAGAGCCAGCTCTGCACTGGGATTCAGAGCAAAGGAGATCAGTGGTGCTGTGGTGGATTTGACCTTGGCCTGTGGTCTGTTGGAAGCTGGGTTGGTAATTTTGCTGCTGGTTGTCTTCATCGTTTTGTGTCTCCCCTGTCTGCTTGGATTTTGGCAAGGGCCCTGCAAAGTCCTTTGCAGTTGTGTTTGTGGCTAAAATACAAAAAAAAGGGGAATTGTGGAGGAGGTTTTACAGCAACTGCTGTGAGCCAGAGAGAAGCTTGATAAGAGGATCCATGTTTACTCCAAAAGAATTTCCTACCAAGGTCGTTGACAAAGAAACCAAGAAAGAAAGAAGGATAAATAGAGAAACCTGCAACTGCCTATTCCAATGAGCACTTTGATTGTTTCTTGTGACTGAACTGTAAACTTAGGAGTTTTGTGAGAAAGTATACAATTAGGATTGTTTTTCCATCTGCCCATTGTTTCTCCATCTTCTATTCCACATCTGTGGCTCGTGTATCATCACTCATAACCACAGGGATTGTTTATCCTTGTTTTTATGCCCTCCTGTTGTGGTGGGTGAGCTCAGAGCTCTGCTGTACATGGAACTGGTTTAGGGGTCTGGAGGGTTTGTTTTGTCCCTGTAAAATACAAGTGAATCCCAGAAGGAAATCAGCTTTAATAAGTTTTTGATTAGTGCTGGAATCATGTTGGTGATATGGGTTTCAGAAGTGGCAGAAATGGAGATTACCTCAGGACTAGTAGGAAAACTGCACTCAATAATTTCTGCATCCGTGCCAGAAAAAAACCCAAACCAACTGCAATTCAAAGTTTCTAGGACAGGGTTTATATTCAATTCTTATAAAACTGCATATTCAGAATAAAAGCAGGGGTTTGTTATCCTTTGACTGGCAGGGGAAAGAATGAAAAACTAGAATTGCATAAACACATAAATGATTGTTAGGCTGGTCACTGATAGTGGATTGGGGGGATAGTTATTGGGAAGCCTTTGGCCAAAAAGTAAAACACTGAGCATGCTGCCAACAACATTATAAACTTGTGGTGTGTTTCTCAGGTCTGTAATATTGGCTAAGTATAAAGTTTGCAGGAAGTATAAAGTTTTGCCTCCTCAAAAAGCTGTAGAAATTGTTGGGGCAAATAGCAACTGATATTCACTCCATGTGAGCTCTATTTCCATGTGTAGATCTGCCTGGGTAAGTTGCTAGCAAAGCATGCCGTGGTAAATTCATTTTGCCTCAAAAAAAAAAAGTTCCAGAGAGATTTCAGTATTTTACAGCAAAGACTTCAGTGATGGCGTGTGGAAGAACCATGCTCTATTAAATTTGGTGTGTTAGGCTGGAAACGGGGGTATGTATTCTGTCCCCATCTGTCAGAGGTGGGGCAGTTCTCTGCTGTTCATGGGGCAGTTTTTTCTTTATCTCTCCCACAGCCAACCCTCCCTCCAGGAGATCTCTGCTGTTAATGGGCCATTCATTATTAATTATCTTTGGTTAATGGCCACTGAGTGTCCCTGCAGGGCTGATCCAATCCCAGCATCCCAAGGGGAGATGCTCCGCCCAGGGGAGGAGCCAAGCATTCCTACCTGGATCCAATCTGAGGTTTGGGACACCCCAGCAGCCTTTGCCCCCTGCATTGCCAGAGGAGCAGCTTTCTGCTGCCCTGCATGGCCAGAGGGAGCCCAGGCCCATCTCCAGCAGCCCTGGAGCTGCAGAGGAAAACTCCCCCCTTGTGCAGGATCCCTGCTGCAGCAGAGCCACAGCTGGCACTGTAAACAAAGTAAACAAATTCACTGTAAACAGGGAGGTTTGGATGTAGGAATTCTTTCAAAAGTCCCCTATGGGGCAACGCACTTAATGACATGATTCCTTTTTAATTATTGTATGGGTTGTAGGACAGGTTCTTGAGAGCAATTTTGCAATGTACCCCAGTGCAATAATGCTTAGGGCTTTCTAACTTAAGAACACTTGATAAATTAATTAATGTTGGAAAGAATTGGATTACAGGAAGGAAAAAAAGTGGGATAAAGATTAAGTGATTGTTCCTCACTCCTTTTTTACACGCTCAAGCACATCAGAGATGAACCCATGAGGAAATTAATCTGTCTCTCCCCTTCTTGACAATCCTGACTGAACACCCCAAATATGAGTGTGTCTTTACAGCTCTTTTAAAACCCACTGTCCCCAGTGTTGCAGGTTCTCAGTAAGGCACAAAAGAGACCCCAACAAGCTCTTTAAGGCTTCCTCAGCCGTACAAGGGCTGGCTCCTGGGATTTTGCTGGGCTTGTTTTCCAGGGAGACCCCTTTTGTGTCAAGGCAAGCCTGGGGGCTGGAGCCTTGCTGGTGTCATCTCCTGGGGATGGGATGTGCCTGCAGCTGGGGAGGGAGTGAGAAGAACAAACATTACGATAGAGGATCCCTGGGAATATTCCCAGACCTCAGCATGCTGCTGTGCTGGTAATGCAGTCCCCGCAGCAATGCTTGTGACAAATCCTCTGTCTTGGAACATTTTATTGAATTTTATCTTTTCTCAGGATACAGCACTTACATGATTTCCTGTCAAAGCACTGCAGCATTTCACAGTCCCTTCGAGTGTTACTGACAGGGAGCTGTCAAAACCAAATTGTCAAAACTAAATTGCACTTTACCTCCTACTTGGACCCTTTATTTTTTTAAGAATGATCCTTTTATGCAGCTAGCCAGTTAGCATGTTTATTGGAATTTTTATTTTTTTTTAAGTGGAAATTCACCAGTTGAAAGTATCAGAGATTCATATGCGCTTCTTTGAAGTCACTTGCCATTTTTCTCAACTAAAACATGTTGGATCACTCATCTGACAACAACATGGGGACAATGCATGCTCAGAAGTGCTTTTGTTTGCTCTTCCCAAAAGGCCATGAATTCCCTCTGTAGTGAGGAACAGTGTGTGACCATCAGGCACCACTGCCAAAGTCATGGAGCTGGAGATATAAATGGCAGGGGTGAGCTTTACTGAGAGTTATAAGAAACTGAATTGACATTTTCTTCTAGTTTGGGATAATTTCCTTAAAGGGATTTGAAGACTGTATTAAAACTTAAACAGAGAATTGAGAAACTGAGGGAGGGTTATTTAAGAAGTTTAGTCAAGGGGAAGAGAAGAAAATGGGAGGAGAAAAATAAAATTTCCTATTAGAAGCCATCTTCAATTGATGATTCAAAGAAGGAATCCCCATAATGTCAGAGAAAAATGAAAAGGGTTTAGCTTCTGAAAAAGTGTACTCAGACTGAGTGGTGGCCTGTCAAAGCATGGTTCCTTCTGGTAGTGGCTACTCCAGAAATGTTTATTTCAATGTCAGCATTCCCTGAACTTGCAAATTTGTTTTGATTCCAAGCCCTAGTTTATTGTAAGGCTGGGATTATTTATTTATTATAGCACTGGGAGTTGCCTCAGTGCCATTTCACATGGACAAAAGTAAATTGTGAACATGAAACTGCAGTAATTTATTCTTCTTATTCCTCCCCCTTCCCTATCCCTCCTTCATTAGCTCTGGAAGTGAAAAGCTCCACAGGTGAGTACATTACTTTCCCCCAATATCTTTTATTTGCATTAAAGCATAAAAAGCCCTCCCCAAAATAGCTGGAATTTGTAAAGGAGGAAACCTTTTCAAAAACACTTTTGCCAGCTTTTGTTGGTCTTCCCAGGATGCTGCAGGTGCAATAATCCAATAAGGACTTGACTCCTTAAATTTGTTTGTGTTTACAGTGTTTGTGTTTAGAGGTGTTGATAAATGCTGCTCTCACTGGGTTACCTTGCAAGGAGAAGGAAGGGCAAGAGGAGATGATTTTTGTGGTGTTGAGTTTCTGCTGACACTTGACCAAAGAGGAAAGCTTCTGCTTCCTTTATTAAAGTAATTTTTAACAGCACATTGAACTGTTGCAAAAGTCTCCTGCTGTAACATAACCAAGGGCATTATTTCACATGGGCTGCCATGAACACTTTTGTTATGCTCTGGGGTATCCATTTTTCCTCACTGAAAATTATTTCTGCTGAAATCTTCATGTAGCCAAGAGTTTCTTTAAGGTAAGAAATAAGCACTGCCATTTACAAAAAAATGAGAGTCCATTGGCAGGGCTTCATTCTTGCTCCCAGATGATGGGGTTTAAAGCTGATTTACCAGAATTCCAAATAAAAGAAAAGAGAAAACACAGCATCAGTCTGCCAGCAGAAACAAAGTGCAACTCAGCAATCCTGTCTCACAATATCCTCCAGATGCTTGAGATTTTTGGTGGAACAGCTGATTGCATATGTGTCAAACCTAATTCCTTCCATTATGATTTAACTCACGGCATTTTGAAGTGCTCAGGACGGAAAACTCTGCAGTAGTGAAGGGGAATTACATTCTCCTGGGAGGCCTGAACAGTTCTATCAAAACCATCAGTAAGCAGAGAAAACAGTGCCTTCCCCCAGAGTATATTCCCCATACAAATGTAGGTTTTGGTTGCATTTTTATGAATGGGAACTGATTTCTTATTCCAGATTGTGTGTATGGACTCTATTTGTGCCAGAAGGGAATTACACATGGCTTTGTTTCTCCCCCTTTTTCTGTGACTGTGATTCTTTATCAGTATGTTCAAAGGATGACAGACTTGTGGGTGAGTTTTTGTCCCCTCGTTCTTTGAAGCAATCATCCAGGCTGGAAAAGACCTTAGAGCTCTATAACCTGTCAGAGCACTCCTTATTCCAACAGCAAGGGCACCCAGTGAGGTGGTGGCTGATTGTTTCACTTGCTTGATTGATACATTGAGACATAGGATAAACAAAAGAAATAAAAGAAAAAGAGTGTGGGAGGTGAAAGGGTTGCAAAGTACCTGGTAGGGAATTGCATCACATTTCTGGTGTCAATGATTTTCAATTTTTAATAGTGTGAATCTATCTGGACTAATGGATTAATAAGGAAAGTAGAAGGATGAATAGGAAATTTCCCTTTAATCCTAAAATTTGATAGCTAAGTATTAAAAATGGTACAGCAAGTTTTCTCAAGTAACTGAAGGCTTTGAACAGTGATTATTCTCTAATGTTATGTTTCAGGGAAATTCTGTGGAGGAGATCTTGCATTACCTCTTTTGATTGGCTTCAATAGCATCAGGCTGAAATTTGTTCCTAATGATGAGGATTATGGAACTAGATTTTCCATTACCTACAAAGCTCTTACACCAGATATTCTTCCTGGTAAGTTTAAGCCAAATAATGTGCAAGATCATGCAACATGAGCATGAATGATGCTGCTGGATGCAGTAAAGAGGAATCACTATCCACCCCAGATAAGTTTGGATTTGTCCTTTAGGTTAAGGTAAAATAGGATTTCCTAGGTTAAATTTCATCATGACAGATTCTTCTAGAAAATTTAATATTTATGTATCACCTGTGAGAGGTCTGAATGTCACAGAAACCAAACCTTGCAGGAATCACTCACAATCCTAAAGACCCCGCAGATCATTGGATTTTTTCCATATGACTTTCAAAACAAGGTTCACTCTTTCATTTTTAAATTTAAAGCTTACATACCAGTCTTTTGAAGTAGAAGAGAGTGAAGATTGGTCCTATGATGCCATGACTCTGTATGAAGATGTGGGAAAAGAAGAGGAAATTGGTTTGACTTTTGATTTTTTATTTTGGGGATGTTCTATTTATTTTATGACTTTCACTAGCCCTGTTGACCAAGGTAAATTTGCTTGTAGAGTCTGAGGTAATATTATAGTACTAGTTTCAGTACCTTGAAAAATTCTTGCAGGTATTGCTAATTCTTCTCAACTTAGAGAGGCAAAGCCACATTGAAGTGAACAATTTTTGAGTGTTTAAATTCTGTGTGAAATGCAGTTCTGAATTGGTTCTAGTGAAGAAAATACACAGTAATTTGGGTCTATAGGAATGATCACACACAAAGCACCCAAGACATCTTTTCAGAGTCTGTTCATCACCCCAGAGCATCATTCATGTAATTTTTAAATTTTTTCCCACTTGGCTTATGGTGAAGGAGAGGAAATCCTATCCCAAAAAACTGTTCTCAAGCACTTGCTTGAAGCTGGTGCTTAGATTAGGGAAAATCAGATAGCTGGGGCGGTTCATTTGTAAGGAAGTTTGTGGGTGCTGCAACAGACTGTTGTGAAACGATGCCAGAGACTCCTTGTTCTGAACAGGCTGCCAGGAACAGGTCAGCCCTTCAGCCTCAGCCTGCTTATCTCTTGCTCATGGTTGCTTTTTACCTTCCTGTCTGGAATACACAGAAAATTGTGCACCCACTGTTGAAAGAGAGAAGGGTTAAAAAGCACCTGTTAATTATTTAGTGAGACTTTGCTTCTCATTTTTAGTTGAGTCTTGTGGATTTGCCCTACCAGCATGTGCTCCAAGCTCCTCTGCTGTGATGCTGGTTGTCTTCCACCCTGATGAGACAGAGACCTTTGCAGGATTCAGAGCTACAGTCTCCTTTGTTCATCTAACAGGGAAGAGAAAACTAAATAGAAACTTGGGAAAATGCCTCCTTGGGGCAGCACAAAGGCCTCTTCAGTGGACTGGGTATTCAGAATTATTTTGCTCTAGGAGATTCTCATCTAACAAATTATTTCAGTGAAAAAAAAAAGGATTGTGAGCCTCTTCAGGTATTAAACAAAGACCTAATTAATGGTGAAGACAAACAATGAATCTGGCTAAAAGCTGGGAGTTGTGTTTGTGGCACATTTTAAATAGAACTTTAATGCTGTAATAGCACACATCCCTACAAGAGAAATCTGCTTCGTCTACAAAAATAAAAAGGAAATAAAAGTTATTCTATAATACAAATATTACTCAAGACATCCTGCTAACACACTGACCACCCTCATCTGCTAGATTCAAATATTTTGAATTCAACTAAAGACTAAGATTTTGAAAACATGAATGTTACTAAAGAAGAAATAAAGGTTATAACAGGTAAGACAACCTCAGTTATGCTTCCTTCATGGGAATAGAGAGTCCTTTTGGACTATAAATTCTCAAAACACCTAATGGTTGCAGTTGGTCCAGACTTTTTTAGTAAGTTATTTTGAGGAAATAAAAATATGCACAGTGACATTTACATGCTTTGACTTTAGCAGAACTTAATTTTTCTTGTTTCCTTCTGATTACTAAGTGATGTACAGCAATTCAGTAACATTTCAGCTTGTATGTCATTTTACACCTACTTCCCTCGGTGAAAACAATTGCAAAACTACAGAGTAATTGAAAATAACAATCAGCATTTTAGAGCTGCCCTTTCCCCCTCTAGTAGTCTACAGAAAACTGGATGAGTCCCTGTTCATTGTAGGTTTGAGGCTAAAACTTCTGAAGGTAAATGCTAGCTTTCATCTTGGTGAAGCTCTGTTTTTGCTAGGATCATCTCCTCATGGTGGTCTAAACATTTGGATCCTATTAAATGAGAGAAATTGGAAGATTTAGTGAAAAAGGGAGCTTGAAGAGCTGTGGGGTTGCCCTTAACTGGAATGTTCTTTACTTCTCCCAGTGTTAACCTAACCTCTAAAGACTCCTTGGAACATCAGTGTTTTCTGTTTCAGAGGATGCTTGTGGAACGCCTTCAAATCAGCGCAGGTTCCTCTTCAGGAGGAAAACTGGAGGTGAAGAAGCTGTGCCCTCCTCGTGGCCTTTGCACACTTTACAATCTGCAGCCCAGTGTGCAAATTGCAGATGAGCAAATCTGTGGGGGAGCAGTGCTTGCCCAAGGATGGGCTGTCACAGCTGCTCGCTTTTTCAAAATAGTTTTTAATGCAAATGCGATTCCCAAATTCCCCACGATGAAGCAATCCAGCAGCCTGAACGCTGATCCTAGTCTGCATTTACACAACAGCTTTTGGGTGCCTGTCAGCACAGATCTGTGCCTTCACTGAGCTCCAGAGCTCAGAATCCCAGAGGATGTGAGAGTGAGAGGTGCATTGTCTCTGTGCTCACTGGTCACTGTCACCAAGACAGAAAGATTAGGGCACAAGTTGCCACTTGGCTCACACTGGATAAATGTTTTTTCCAAGGTTCTCTTCCTACCCTTGCTGGATAGAGTTTTCTGCATGTTCCATGTCACAGATGCAAAATCTTGACTTGTTAATATCAGAAAGCTGGTGGTTTCTGGAGCTGCTTTTAAATGTGTTCCCTTCTTAAGGCATCTTGGAAATTTATAAAACCAAAGTTACTTAAAGCCTCACGCTCCCAAGTCTTTCAGAAAATGTCAATGTCTTTGCTTGTCTTGAATGTAGTGCTGGAGACTCTAAAAATACTGCAGCATGTTTTTAACACAGTTTCTGGTTTTACAAATTGTTTGGTGCTTAAACAAAAGTGTTTGAAATGACAGGTGTTACAGGCCAAGGGAGCACGCAAGAACTGATAGCTCTCCTAATTAATCTATGCATTAACTTGTAACTAGCAGTTTAATTAATGTCCAAAAGGCTGCTTATGCAGAAATCTGTGGTGACAGGCTCCAATTAGCTTTGCAGACCCTTCTGCTCTCAGCTGTAGTGTTTAAAACTAGATTAGTAGGCTAGTACAACAGGTAGCAAAAGAATGATCCTTCTTTGACTCAATGGTCCCGATAATAACTAGAAGGTAAGATATCTCACTTGGTTTTTGTTGATATTAATGGCAAAAATATTCAGCGAGTTTTTCCCATACAAGCATTTGATGCCAGCAACCCTCCCTTTTTAAATTATATTAGTTTTGAACTTTAGTTTTTTAGGTTTTTTAAACTTTCAGTTTTGTTCTGTAGCTGGGAAATCAATAATCTCACTGATTTTATTCTCCAATGAATAAGGTAAACATATTTCACCACTTTCTTCTCATCACTGTAAAGTTTGAGGCAAAAGCCCACAAAATCTTGAGCATGAAGTTTTTTGTGAAGCTATGAAAATACTTAACAGTGGAAGGATTATGGGCAAATTGAGATTCAGTGACTCAGATTAACAGCTGTGTTACATTATTGATAGAGTATGTGTGCTAAATCTTTGCTAAGCTCTCTGAAAAGATCTTTAGAGAGAAACAGAGGGAAAATATCCTTTGTAAATTTTTATCATAGAAGCCTGTTAATGTTTGGTTGTGGTGGAAGTTGCCATTAGCTGACTGTATCAGTTTATGCTGGGAGCAGATGTGGATTATCTCTTGGCTGCTACTCTGTTTTGCTCGACAGGAACACTGACTTTCATCTGTTTAATCATTTAAGACAAGGATTTCAAGTGGATGTGTTCAGAATAGCAAAAATTGTGTGGGAAGAACTACAGGTGATGTCAGCTGTGATGATATTGAATGCAGCGATAAATTGGTACCTCTTATGAAAATTCTTATCTTAAATTCTATCTTAAAATGTCTGCTTTTGATTTGATTGTTATGGCACTAACTTTTTGCTTGGTGGCTTGTTGTTGGCCTTTTGTGTTTTTCCTAGTAAAAAAAAACAAAACACAAACACATCTTAAAAAAATACTTTCAACAGGGTTCATATTTCTTTCCTGATCCTTGTCCCACTGTGGGTCTGCCCAAGAGAACAAAAAAAACCCATTCTCATTGGATCTTCCCTGTTTTTCTTTTACCCTCACCTTATTTCCCTTGCACTTTTCCAGAAGTGGCACGAGGGCAGGTTTATTTCTCATTTAGGAATCCCATTAATTGCCACGTGTTGGGTGCACAGAAATACTGCTATTTCTTCATCTGAACTGACCAGCTCGACTTTGCTGCCCTCTGTGAAAAACGCCAATCACTTGGTTTTAAAATTTTAAAAGTTGAATAGTAATAAAATGGTTATAAAAATAGTAATACAATTAGAGTAATAACAATTTGGACAAATTTAATTAGGACAATATGAGACAATAAATACAAAGAGTTATGGACAGTCCAGGTACCTCTTTCTGGGCAGCATGAGCCCGAAAAAGGACCCACGTAAACAGAGGATTAACTCTTAACAGCAACAGCCTGTTGCATATTCATACACCTCATCCACGATGCATAAATTCCATTCAAACACAGGATTCTGTCTGGTTTTCATCAACTTATTCCTCTGAATCCTGACAGGGCCTTCAAGGCAGGAAGAAGTTCGTTTCTTCTGATAATGGAGCAATAAATTCTCTTTCTCTGAAAGTTTCAGTTGTCCTGTGGCTGCTATCTCACTGCAAGTCCTCTCTTTAGAAAAAAGTATCTTACATAGCATAGTTTCTATTTTAACATTATGTTATAACCTAAAACTATATTTAACACAGTACTTAAGAGAATTAATACAGCATTGCTTTCTAACACAACACATATAATATTCATTTTAATATTTGCGAAAAGCCAATCATAAAACACATGCATTTTTCACACCCTCCTTTTCTATTTCTTGGTAGAAAGAATTGTGAAGCACTGGAAGGGGCTGCCCGCGGGGTCCCTGTCCCCGGAGGTGTTTAAGGAAAGGCCGGACACGGCACTCAGTGCCACGGGCTGCTTGACACGGCGGTGTCCGGTCACACTTTGGCCTCGGTGATCCCAGAGCTCTTTCCCAATCTCATCGATTCTGTGACACCAAGAACGCGGCTCCCGGGGCAGCCTGACCCGCCCGGGCTGACGGCGGAGCGGGGCTCCCCTCACGGCCCGGGACCGGGAGGAGCAACGGGGAGGAGGAACGCGGGGAAGGATCAGGAGGCGGAACCGGGAGGAGGAACCGGGAGGAGGAATGCGAGGAAGGATCAGGAGGCGGAACCGGGAGGAGGAACCCAAAGAAGGATCAGGAGGCGGAACCGGGAGGAGCAACGCGAGGAAGGATCAGGAGGCGGAACCGGGAGGAGGAACCGGGAGGAGTAAGGCGAGGAAGGATCAGGAGGCGGAACCGGGAGGCGGGACGCGAGGAAGGATCAGGAGGCGGAATCTGAGCGGGCCCGGTGCCGCGGGAGCTGCGGGCGAGGCCGCCATGGAGGCATTTGCGGTAAGGGCCAGGCTGGGGCTGGGGAGGGCCGTGCCGTGCCGTGCCCCTCAGGGCCGCCGTGCCCCTCAGAGCCGCCGTGCCCTCACCGCCTGCCCTTCTTCTCCTGCCAGGGAGGGCCTGTGGCCATCGCCGTGGCCGTGGTGGCGGCGTCGGCGCTGCTGCTGCTGCTGCTCCGAGGGACGGCGCGGAGGCCGAGCGGCCCCGTCACGCTGCAGGACCCGCTCGCCAAGTACCCGCTGCGGCTGCTGGACAAGGAGGTGCCCGGGGCTCTGGGGACATGGGGCGTCGGGGCTCCGGGTGCAGTGGATGCGCTGGTCTGGGAGGCTCTTGGCCCTGGGCTACCACAGGGATCGAATCCCCAGAGCAGGGCGCGGAGCCGTCCAAGGATGGCTGTGCCCCCCGCAGCCACGCTGTGATGCCCCCGGGGTAGAGCAGGGTGTGTAAAAGCGTTTATGGCGTGCTGCGAGCTGCTGTTTCCCGCTGCTTTGCATGTTTGCATGCAGGCTGTGTTCCTCCCTCGGATCCTGGCCTGGGTGCACCGTGAGAAGCGAGCCCGGAGCTGCTGCACGGCTGTGTTGCCTGATCTTTGTCTGCAAACATGCAATGTGCTCACTGGCCTTGGGCACAGAGTTTCCTGGTTTTATCTATGTAAAGAGGCTGTAGGGATTGTGCAGGCAGGCAAAAGTCACTCCTTGTGGAAGTAAGGGCTGCTTCTGAGACTCCTGGTTATTTCTGCTTTGTTTTTCAAGGCTGTTTCTGTGTCCTTCCCCAGCATTTGGCTTGCATGCTAACAAAGAGAAGGCTTGCTGAAGCATATTGTGTTGAGTAGAGTTTGAAATTCAAAGTAGTGGTGATACTGACCTCATTCTAACCTTGGTTTTTTTAGGAAATCAGTCACGATACTAAGAAATTCAGATTCGGGCTACCCTCAACGAATCATGTATTAGGATTACCTGTAGGTAAGTACTGTAAACAATTACTTGTATTTCTGGTTTCTCACAGTTCTTGGACTTCTGACTGTGAATTTAAGGCTCAGCAAAGCAGAGAGTTGAAAGCTGCATCTGAATGCTGCTGTCTCAGAGAGAAATGTCAGGTTTCCTAGAGGGCTTGTATTTCTGATCTTTTGTGGGTGCTTTGTCCAGTTGTGTGGTGTAGGTTAGAAACAGAGCAGTGAGATGGGACTGAGCCTGATGGAATTTGTCACCAGTCAGGATATAAGCAGGGGTAGTAGTAAATGTCAAAGCTGTTTCATATTTCTTACTTGCATTTTACTTCCATCTGGTCCCCTCAGTCTATTGGCAATTGCCCTCATGGTTTTGGCAAATACAGATACTTGTAAAGGAGAAAGGGGGCAACTCTGAAATATTCAGAGCCTTCCCTGTGCATGCACTTCCCTATGAATTACACACATTTCCATGCACCTTTATCTGGAGTTCTGCAGCATGAATTTCAGCCTAGGATTGGCCTTCTTTCCTGTACCCTGGAACACTGATAGCACTGAACCTTGGACCTTGAATCAGTGAAAATCTGTGTGGGGGAAAGTCTCTCTCTGATCTGCAGATGTGGCTCTGTCTGTTCTGCACTGTTTGGCAGTTCCCTGAGCTGGATGGCAGGTGTCAGGGTCATCCCATTCCATGCTCTGAGCATGTCCTTGCATGCTGCCTGATTTTCTCCAGACTTGTCTTCTGGCTTGTGTGGAAAAGAGTAATGGAATTAACTAGACAAATGGTAAACCAGCTGAGATGTGCTCTGCAGTGCATGTGTTTATCCAGGTTCATTCTTAGGAATTTATGAATGAGATCCTGAAACTGCATTACTTCCTGGGAGATGCCTGCTCTGTGCTGAAAAAGGAGAAGAAACTGAATGTTTGGTGCAGCATTTGTATGGCAAAGATTTTCTCTGTCATTGCATGTGTTACACAAGCAGGTTACGATACCTGCCTGTCTCTCTTGTCCTCCAGGGGTGAAAAAGATAATCAGATTGTAATTCTTTCTCCCCAGGTCAGCATGTTTACCTTTCTGCAAAAATTGATGGGAATCTGGTGGTTCGAGCTTATACCCCCGTTTCCAGTGATGAGGCAAAAGGTTATGTTGATTTAATTATAAAGGTAAATTTTGGTTTCCTTTATTAGAGATGAGTTGCTAACTGGAAGGAGGGCGAGCACTTCATTTTAGTGAAATAGTTTGTTTTGATTTAGTAATCAAATTTCATTGTCTTTAATTCAAATTTTATTAAATTCCGTTTTCATCAAATCTCCTATTTTTCAAATAGGGTGACTGCATGGCAAACAACTCATTGCCCTTGAATTGTAAGTTGTGTCCTGTGTATCTGCTGTGTGGCACTGAGGGATGGCAGAGGAAGAGTAGAGGGAGGAGAGAATTGCTTCCCTGGCAATACTTTGGGAATTTCCCTAATATCTTTTACTAAGCAGTGCATGGATACTGATCTCTCTCCCTCTAGATGCCTGTGCTGCTGCTACTGCTTAATGCAAACAGCTCTAAGCAGAAAACAAGTCACACAAGGGAAATCCTTTAAGCCAGGGGATGCAGGATTATCTGACCCCAGCACTTCTGGATTTCCTAATTCTGTGCTATGATAGCATTTGTCCTTAGGCAAAAATCCAGGCTTTTTTAAAAGTATTTTTTGCATGTTCTGTTCTTCGTGTTACAAGGGTGGTGAATTGTTATGAGCTGCTTAATGCTTCTTACATGCTTTGAAAGCTGAAAAAGCTGTTGTGTGGCTGACTAGGAAAGGTTTAGAAGGAAAAGATGCAGCAGTGCTGTTTTCAGAAGGAACAGCCACAAAAATGGGGTGGCATAATAGTGAAATGAGGGCAGCAGTGCATAATCTGCCTGCCACCCATCCCTGTTATCCCTGTTTGCAGGGAGCAGAGGGACATGTGCCCAATAGCACATTTTACTTTTTTTGGCTGCCTCCTGTTGCAAGGCTCAAGAGATAACTGAGAGCAAAGAATTGCCTGGATTTATTTCTCAGGTGTTGAATTTCAGACCTGCAGAATTATGTTCTACAGACACTGTCTGCAGCAAAGGTAGTGGTTGATAATGTGCAAATAATTGTTCTTACAGATCTACCACAAAATAATTGTTCTTACAGGTCTACCACAAAAATGTGAACCCCAAGTTTCCAGAAGGTGGGAAGATGTCCCAGTATCTAGATAACATGAAGATTGGAGATACCATTGATTTCAGAGGGCCAAATGGACTCCTGGTCTATAAGGGGACAGGTACTGTGACACAAAGGTGGGAGAGCAAAAGAGAGGTATTGGTTATTTTCAGAGGTGTTTTATAAAACTTGACAGCTGTAGAGAATATTTTTTTAAGTGGAAAAGAGGAAAAATCACCTTTCCTAGACTTGACCATGAGCCTGTCAGAGTTGGTATGATGGGAAATAGTACTTTGTGTGTGGAATAACTGATGAGTGTTTCACTCCTGGGACTATAAATCTGAAAAAAATTGCTATTGCTTCATGTGACTGAGAAGTCTGCACTGGAAATAAAATACTTCAGCCATACATATGGAGGGAGATGCTCCAGATGCTTCTTAAGCAAGTGGGGTTGTGGCCTAACATGTCCTCTGAGAATCCCTGTGCTGTTACTGAATAACCAGCTGACTGAGAGCCAGCTCCACTTCATAATTAAAATCAGGCCTGAGTTGACTGTGAGGAAATAAGCTCAGAGAAGTAATCCTCTTGTAGGATACAAGTGAAAGATTTTGCACTGATCTTGACTGAGAGGAGCTGTGCACTTCAGTCTCACCTCAGAATGCTCAGCACTTCTCTGGATGCTGACCTCTCTCCTGGTGACTCTATCTCAGCAGAAGGGAGGGATTTCCAGAAATTGTTTTTATTTATTAATTGATCACCTGTGGTAATTTATTCCCATGGAATTTGTGTCCATGTTTGTTTGGAAGCTTATGTACCTATAGGTTTGGAATATGTCTTCTAGGTACCTTTCTTATCAAGCCTAATAAGAAGTCTGAAGCAGAGAAAAAGTTTGCAAAGCACCTTGGGATGATAGCTGGAGGAACAGGTAAAACTAATCCCATCATGTGGAGTGTCCAGAGAATGAAAATGTCTTTTGGGTATATGTGAGGACTACCAGAGTATTTACACCTGCATTTCTTTTCATTAATTTCTTTTCATGGTGGCAACTCTGAGGCATTCCAGTGGTTTGAGCTCAGTCCTGGGGAGTGGCAACCTGGGGGTTTGAATCCTAATTTACCTTGTGACCTCAGAGAACTCACTTCATCAGTGACAAAAAGAATTTTAAGAGAATGTCTTGAGGGGTAAAATTATGTGATGGAGAATCCTGAAGAGAAAAGCACTGCATACAAGAGTTCTGGGCTTGTGCTGGAACTGTTTGTCAGAATAGAACCCCCCAATCTCTGCACTCCATGTGGATTAGAGATCCAGAGGTGTGTGACCTTGTGCAGACTGAGATCCCAGTGAAGACTGAAAAGAGGCAGGATTAACAGTGAAACTGGAGCCATGGACAGAAATACCCACTTTAACCATTTTGGTTTTTAACAGGAATAACTCCTATGTTGCAGCTGATCCGTCAGATCACAAATGATCCTAGGGACTCCACAAAATGTTACCTCCTTTTTGCTAATCAGGTGAGTGTCCTGAGCCATCTGTTTGTTCTTCTTTAGTAGCCTACTTGGTTTTGCTGGCCTCTGAGCTTTTTAAACTGATGGTCCATGTTTCATACTCCTTCACACTTAGCTGTCTCCTCACAGTGTCACTGAATTCCTACATTAGGGAGTAAATACAGCAACCAGATCCTGATCCCTCTGCTCATCTTAGTCCTTCACTGATTTCAAGGAAACAGGATTTGTTTCCACTAATCTTTTTGTACAGCTAACCTTCACCAACCTTCACCATGCTGGTCCAGGGACATTTGCCAGGGTCAGGAACAAATCCAGCTCGTGATTTTAGCCTGGATTAAAAAGTCATTCTAATTGCCATCTTTAGGACTGTGTTTAGGTGGCTGTAAGTCTCACATTTGTTGTTCTTTACAGAAGCCTGTATTGAGGATAGCTGCCATGGAGGGGACAAAATACCAATTACTTTGCTGATTTACATGGTTTTTATCCTTGCATTTGTTGTGAGCTCCCAGCAGAGGGCTCCTGGGATGGTTTGGACCTAACCAGCACTCTCATTTTGCAGACAGAAAATGATATCTTGCTGAGAGCTGAGCTGGAAGACATTGCCAAGAGGCATCCTGAGCAGTTTGTGCTGTGGTACACCCTGGACAGACCTCCAAAAGGTAGGGACACATGGACATGCCTTTGCTTATCCCTGCCAGAGCTTCACTCGTGCTCAAGGGGACAGCAGAGTAATGTCAAGTGTCCTTGTCTTACACTTTGAAACTCCTCCTTTGAAACAAACCTTACCCCACACCCTGTTTTAAAAAGGGATCTAAGCCAGGTGGGACTTAAAAAGTAGGAGCTCATAATTAACCTCATTTGGGTCAGATGTGTTACTCAGTGCATCTTTTCAGGTATTCGGTTTCTAGGGGTTTTCATCCAAAGTTCAGCTCTGATTTGGGCTGTCTCCCAAATGAGGTTATGTTAGCATGCTGTTGGCACTAAATTGTTTAATACCTGTAAATATTATGTGCACATCTTTGTTTTGCAGCAGCTCCAGATTAGATTCTGGTGAAACAGCTGCCATGTGTATGGATTAAGCATCACTTTCCTTCTTGGCTCACTTCAAATGGCAAATGCATTCAATAATACTATTGCTTGAAACAGTTTAGCATTTCCTCTTTTAATTTGTTTTCTCTTATCACTAAACGACATGGCAGAGCTTTTGTTGACATTAAACCTTGTCACCTCACCACTCCATCCCAAAAAAAAAAAAAAGTACAGGTCTCAATACCTCTCCCTGTCACTAGGTGACCCCTCTTTGCTGGAAAAGCTGATTCACTCTTCCTTTTTATTCCTACCTGCTCATTTCTTTTAAATTTTATAATTTATTCTTTTAAGACCTCTGTATCTTATCAATCAATCAAATCCTTGTTATCCTGTGGAAGGGGATCACTAGGTTTGAGCTGAATGAGAGATTTAACCCTTTCCTGGCTTGCAGTGATGGTGCCATAACTTGATTCTCCAGCTACTTAATGATGTTTAAAGAGGTTTCAGCCTGTACAGAGATTCGGAGTAACTGAATTCATTTCTCTGTTGCAGACTGGAAGTACAGCTCTGGCTTTGTCACTGCAGACATGCTGAAAGCCCACCTGCCTCCCCCTGGCAGTGAGACCCTCATTCTCATGTGTGGGCCCCCACCAATGATTCAGTTTGCCTGTCAGCCCAACCTGGACAAGCTGGGCTATCCCAAGAGCAGCACATTTGCTTACTAACACTGATGGCACCTGGTACCATTTTTGGGAGTACTGCATCTTTTTCTACAGGAACAGTTGATGTGCAACTGTGCAGCAATTGTGTGTGTGTGTGTGTCTTTTTTAACACCTTGATATAATTTCTATGGTTTATAACTTCATAATTACATTGTGTGTTTTAATACTAAGAAGTTGAGAAGTCATCTTGAATTGTATGGGAGTTACTTAGTCTTACCTCTGGAATTAGTATAAAATATTAATTCTGAGGGGGGGAAAAAAATAAAGATGAAATGTCATCCACATGGATTTGTGTTAAATCATTCCACAGTCAGCAAAAGAGAGGGGAACATTCAGAATTTATTCATAACAGTCAAAAAAGAAGCATTTATACCAGTGTTATGCTAATTAGGATTTCTTACTACATATATTTAAAAGAAGAATCAACTGTTTTGTGGATTGACTATTCACAGCCATGTTAGCACAACAACACACTGAGTTGCAAATACAGCATTGAAAGAAAATAGGAAATATTGTGTTTGGAATATCCCAGGGCAGCTGGAGCAGCCAATCCCATTTGCAGTGCTGTAATAAGTCTGTTGGCTAATTGACCTGACAAAGTATTTTAAATGATCATGGTACCTGAGCTGGTCATTAGCACTGACTGCATTGCCAGACTGGTACATTTCATAGCTTTTATTAAACATCAGTAATTTGAAAGACATCAGTAATTTGAAAGATTTAAAGACTTACTTCTCATTTTTCTGAATATTCCTTTTTTTCAGTTGGCAGTGATTGAAAAGAATTTGCCTTGATTTTACCCCTGTGGACAATCAAATCGTGTTTATCTTCTTCCACCTGACCATCCAGTGCAAGGTCTGCCATGAGAGGCTGGTGAAGTGAGGACAGGGTGGCTCATGTGTAAAAACCACCCCAGGAGGTTCTCAAAGAGCCCTTGCTGCATCCTGTGGCCAGCCTGGAGCTTCCCTCTTTCTCTGGGAGGGTTGTGGCTGGCAGTGACTGCCCTCAGGCTACATTGCAATCTACAGCAGCACCTGCAGCCAGCAAGGACAAAGTAATGCAAACCAGCCCTGTACAAAGTACTTTTCCTTACAATTAAGGAGATTTTTTTTCCTGGCATTTATCTGTTTACTAAGAGAGCTTGTTAATGGCTCATTGATACAGGAGATGTACATGTAAACAAATGCCACAAGTAATTGGTGCTGTAGAGGGGACAACTTCACCCTGGGCCCCTCAAAAAGTGAGAGGCCATACTTCCCTCTGATGCAGTCTTGTCTAGCCCAGTACAGCAGCAAAAGATTTATTTTGTCAGGTGTTTTAAAGAAATAAATCTTTGTTTTGTTCTGGTAATTTCCTGGTAGTCTCAGAGTTACAATTTCCTGCTGCAGTTGTTTTTGCCTTAGGTAAAGATTTGTGAACAAGGCAGCTTGTCATCCTAATAAAAGCAAGGGCTGGATGCACAGTACTATGCTCCATTCTTCCCATCCTACAGTGCACTGACTTGGATAAAGAGAGGGCAGGACAGGTGCCAGTGACAGGGAGGAGAGACTGAAATCCTTTCTGGGCACCAGTCTGGCACGACCACAGAAGTGGTGAGTGAGCCATTGCTGCTGCTCCCACCAACATTCAGCTCTGATTAGCCCCAGTGGTACAATTATGTGTTAATGATTCCTGCACTGCAAGTTAATTAGAAAAATAAAAAATTACAAAAGGTCTTTCACGTAACAGTACATCAACATAGCATGTAAAAGTCAAGTGAATGAAAGGACAAAGCATTGCCAAGTCTTGGCTTTCCAGACTCTGGAGCTGAGTCCCCCTCCTCTCCCAACTCCTGTTTCCTGTTACATGATGTGGGAAAACAGCACAGAGGAGAGTTACCTGTAAGCTGTGGCTACACTGACAGTAGGAAATGCTAGGTGGGAGGTGGCAGTGGCAGAAAAAGGCAAAGCTTTCCTGCTCCATGGCATCCTGCTGCTCCTGGCCACTCCTGCAGGCGTGAGGTACCAGCAGTGATCTTGGTCCTGCTGAAGCATCATCTCCAGTCTTCAAAGGTGGGTGTTAAAAACCTGCTGTCATTCAGCATTTCATCCTGGCTCAGCAACGTCTGAAAGAGCAAGATGGGAAGGACTGAGGGGGTTTCATGAGAGGCCTGTGCTCCCAGAGACCCAGCTGCAGAGAGCTCGGGCTCACAACACCAGAGGTGAGAGCCACACACGATCAAAAGGAATTTCTTCAATACAACTTTAAATAAACTTTTTTGTGTTGGGGAACTTGTAGAGATTATGTGTTGGGAATTTAGCTGAAAAGAGACTGGAAAAGTACAAAGCCGTGGCTAATTCCAAGTCCTGCACCTGCTAGATAGCGTGTCCTTGGGCCTAGCTGTAGTAGGATAACAAATAGTGAAAGAGACATGAGAAAAGAGAGATGTAACCCCTAAGGAATGAGGAAGAGTTCATGGTATAGTTTAACCAATAGATTGCTTGGCTTACAGAATATTCATAAGCTTATTACTTGCTGTATAAGTGTTTGATGCTTTCTTCAATAAACTGGACCTGTGATGAACCAGCTGGTGTCCTGGTCCCCTTCCTACCACAATTATGTGTCTGGCATGCAACTCAACTATATTTCATAATTCTTCATTATGTCTTCCAATCACTTTTTTTTTTAATACATTGGCTTCTGTGGAATGAAGAAGCAAAAGTGAGGTGTTTGGTTTTGCACAGAGTTTTAGCTCATGTAAATTTTCAAAAGTCTGTACCTCGTTCCTAGCTGCTGTGACTGAGGTGGTGCTTACCTGTAAAATCTTTGAAGAATTGTTTTCATGTAAGGGGATGAATATCTGTCATTTTGTCAAAGAGATATCAGAGTTCATGAAAACTTAAGAGGCCTAAACAAAGCTTAATTTCTGGAGCAATTTAAAAGCAGGGATTGGTTTTTTTTGACTGAATGTGCCACCAGACTGTGAAGAGATACTTAACAAGAACAGAGACCCACTTACTGTTCATTACCACCAGCAATGACCAACTTTCAGAGTTTTAGCAGAGTACAAGGGTGACTTTGGAACAGGAGAGGAACTGGTACTTACTGTGAGGTGGGTTATGCCTTGGGAAAGAGCCCCTATTTGCATTACTGTGCCTTCTGAGTGTTCCATCTGTAAAAGCAGTCAGCAACTAGTTCAAATCAGACAGCATGTGCAATTTTATTCACTCTACATGCAGCTTTGGGAGGGATCTGTGCCTGGACAAATGAAGTTGGGGTAAGTTGAATAGCTCTTTAACAAAAATGCCTCTGTGCTACAAGGTATGGGAAAATGCATTTGATGATAGGAAGAGTGGATCCTGATTAAGAGACATTGATTCCATTAAACTTGTCCTTTAATTCACAGAAAAAAGAAAAAGCTTAACTGATACTATCAGTGAAAAATAATTCCTAAATGGTCTGACACTACTTATTTCTGGTAGGATTTCATAGGCAAGAAGTCCTTGATACAATCCTACCTCTTTTTTCATAGGAATGTCACCAGTTCTAGGGCATTGTGATTTCCTGCTCAGAAATCATGCTTAATAGACAGACCATGCTCCTAGAGAAAAATCCAGGCTTTCTGTCACACTTGAACAACTGCACAGTGCAATTCTTGGCCCCAAGTTAATGCATTCCCTCACAACTCCTAGCTGAGCAAGTGGACATCCACACTCATGGTCAGGGTTTGGTATTCTCCTGTTTAGAAGCAGTACATGGAAAAAGACCACGGTTAGCCAGTGAACACAAATGGGATGTTAGATGCACTGAACCATGCAAATGAAAAGATTACCTGCACAGTTAGTCTTTTCAAGGTTGTGACCATTCTCTTATTAGGCTTAAACTGTTTCTATGTCACTGGAGAAAGGCCAGTTTACTCCAGCTGCCTCTGTGTGGCTCTTGTGTGTTGCCGAAGTTCACACAAGGCTCCAGGAGCGCTCCGTTTTTCAGGGTTTACATCCCTTTACACAACAGCAAAGTTGAAATAAAATTTGATGGGTTTTATCATCATTTCTTTGTATGATGTCTAGACAGTTTCATTCACAAGTTCACTACTACATTACAAAAGTGAATTAACTATTGGTTTATTAATAATTTGTTCATTGCTGATGCATTGTCTTCATGTATATTATCTAAGCAGAACTACTCCCCACTGTACACCATGAAAGAAAAATTCAGTTGGATTCTCTGATTACTGTCTGTTAAAAAATACAATCCAGTTGTACTTTAATATAACTCAATAGCTTTGTACAAGTTTGTCCAAATGAATTTATTACATTAAAAACCACCCATAAAGATAATGAAAAAAAAAATAGCGTGCCATACTAAAATTATGAAAGCTAAAAGTACAAAAGTCTTATGTTTCCTGCAACCACACCCTTGATTGACAAAATACCTCGATCTTCAGAGTGTAAAGGTGTCATAGTCCTGAAAAAGGGCTTGAGGGTGGATGAGCTTATTATGATGTTGATTAAAAAAAACCCAACATTCTTAGTCTGGAACTCTTTCCAGTGTCCACAGCCAATACTTTTCTCTGTGAGTTCATGCGGATGTAGCAAAGAGTTTGTTATAGGGGAACATTTGGTTATTTGCAAGCTTTGGAATGCATGGAGAGGATGAGATGAGCATGGCATCAGTCTGTCTGTCCCACCTGATCCAGTTCCCTGTCAGTGAAAGGACTAAGTCCTTTGTAGCCACCGTAGTTTTTCGAAGTACCATTTGTAGCAGCTGGGCTTGTATCCATAGGACAAATGTAGTCTGTTGATTCATCAAACTTCTTTTTCCTTAAGTTTCCAAAATGCGAAAATCCAAGTTTCTTTGGCTAAAATAAGGAGTCAACACAAGTAGTTTGAGTAAAACAAGTAAAGTTGTTCTGTAAACATTTTAAATCCTCCCCTTTTTCAATTACTGCTATACCCTGGTGATTCAAGAATGTAGATTCTGAATTGACTACATTTGTTCTCAAATTGGAGTTCCAGTGGATGTTAAATGCATTTGCATGATGCTCCTTCTAAGGAAAGGCAGAACAGATTGCTTGGCTGTTTTCAGGACCTGACTGAAACAGGTACATAGCAAAAGGTCTGGTATCTAAAATTAAGGGAAATGCAGCACTCCTAGAATTCACCTCTCCCTACCCACCTTGGTTCCTTACTTTCTTTGTAATTCAGAGTGGAGAAGTCTGACACTGACATCTCCCTTTTGACAGCAGTACCTACCCGAACTTTGGCAGTGGTGGTCAGAGGTGTGTATGCTGCTGACTCCATGGTTTCTCTTTTTTCTTGCTGTGCCTCTGGCCCAATTAACACGTTGAAGTTGGTGGTGAGGTGGCGGCGCAGGAGGGTCTTTTGGGGCGGGATGTTCAGGAGCATGGCCAGCGTGTCACCGTTGAAGCGAGGTTCCAGGATCTGGAAAAAGGGCAGCATGTTTACTTTTTATATAAATATTTGCAATAAAAAAACACTACAGTGCTTAGCAGGGGATTTCTCACTAAGTACCTGCTCACATTAGGCCTTTTATAGCTCACTCTTGATACTGGGGTTTGAATGGGAAATACCTGAAAGGAGCCAAGAAAAAATGCTGAGCGTGATCAGCCATATATGTGTTTATATTTATTATCAAACTCATCAACATGTGTTTATATTTATCATCAAACCATACATTTTTTTGGGTTGAACATGTTTCCTTTCAGAATTTTCTGCTCTGCTCAGGGTAAAAACTTAATCTTAGTAGGATTTCTACCATTGCATTTTTGCAAAAATTCTACAGCAGTAGAATCATGGTATTTCAGAACCCTGACATTACTCAGCTGCAAATATTTCTGAATGTTTTGAATTAAAAAAATGTCATTCCTGACTGCTGTGATTTCAGGGTGGTTATTTAGCATGGCTCAGAGTTCTGATAAATCACTCAAAGAAACACTCAGGGATGCTTTATCAAAAAGCAACTTTTCCACAGCACAGTTGAGGTTTCCTTTTCTGTGCTGCTGTCACACACTTGTGCAGAGCTCAGCTTTGATTACAGAAAGTGTTTTAGCTGCTCCTTTTTTATTTTAGCTTTCCTTTGTGGAATGAAGATGCATGGATCAGACAAAGAGGCTCCTTAGAAGGCCTGATCACACTGCCACGTTGCAGATGTGCCTGCTTCTTTCAGCTTGATGAACATCAGACAAAGGATGGTTTGTATTACACCCTGAATTTTCAACATTACAGTCAATTTTTTAGTAGTGGAATGGTAAATTCTTACGATCAGGCCCCCGTGCACTCCGCTGCCTCGAAGGTTGGGTGCATATTCTGCCAGATCCACTGATCTCAGCCATTCCATCACTCTGTGGTTGGACCACTGCACCACGTCGGAAGGAGAGACGTTCTGTGGGAGGAACCACAAAAGGTGATGACACCACAGCCTGCACTGATTGTGCACAGCTCAGAGCTCAGCTCAGCTCAAAACAGCCTCCCTCCTCTTCCTCCAAGGGCATTGTTCTTCCCCGGCTGAGGGATTGTTTCTCTCCAGGCCCCTTTCAAGCAGTCCCTGATGAGATGGCAGAGCTGGTCTCACACTGGTGAAACCCCCGTGTGTTGCCTCGGGAAGTACAACAGCAGGGATTGCAGGTTACAGGGATAAAAAGGGAATGTTTGACAACAGGAAGTACAACAGCAGGGATTGCAGGTTACAGGGATAAAAAGGGAATGTTTGACAACAGGAAGTACAACAGCAGGGATTGCAGGTTACAGGGATAAAAAGGGAATGTTTGACAACAGGGCTATTGACAGTGTTTAATGCTAAGAAAAAACTGTGCTGATCGAGTAAAACCTTACCGATTTTAAAAATTAGGTCAGGTGAAGACAAATCATTCCAAATCATTCTCTTGGAAGATTAATTAACTTTTTTCCCACTATGCAAGTAACTTCTGAAGATAAACACATGAGGTTCAACTAATAAGTGGCATAACTGCTGCTTTAGGTGCAAGTCCCTAGAAACAATGATTCTGTTGTATCACTGTACACTGCTGACTTTCTATCCCTTTTGGCTGGGTCCAGGTAATTTGTACTTGCTTAAATTAATTTATTTCAACATTCTTTTACCTCCTCAACTGGCCTCCTGCGCAGACAGTGGGGATTGAAGCTGTTGACGTGCAGCACGTGAATGGCACATTTAATACTCAGGTGATGCAGCTGACTGGTGACTTTCAGGAAGAGAAGGTCATTCTGTGAAGGAGAATGCCATCACATTTAGGTGCCACAGAACACACACCAAAAACAAATATTCTCGCCAAGAAGAAAGAGTTTAAATTTGCTGTGTGGTTTTATACAACACTGCAGTAACTGTAGTTTAGGGAAGACGGAAGTTTATACTTTAAAGAAGGTTTGGGTTTTGTTAGGGTGGAAGTTTGGAGGGGGTTCTGTTGTTGGTTTTTTGGGGGTTTTTTTAACATTGCACCCCAGCAAGACCTGGCTAAAAAATGAAGGTAGAAGTGTAGCCTGTTAAGGCAAATCCAGGCCTTAACTATCCAGATTTGGGCAGGAGAATGGGAAGAAAACAGTGGCTGTGTGTGGCTCATGGTGTGCTGTGAATGTGGTCAGGGCTGTACAAATCACTGGATTTTCTGCTATTACTTTGCTGAATACTGTTGCCAACTTGGTGTGGAGAACAACGAGCTCCAGAGGTTACACATAAAACAGGTCATTTTACTTTTAATTGTGGTGGGCTACATGACATTGAAAGAGGGACTTTGCAGAAGTTAGCCCTAACATGCGACTTTTTTAATGGACCTTAGGAACAAATTCCATGCACTAGGCAGCACAAAGGAGATTGCTGGCACTATTTCTGTCTTGTAAAAAAATTTTAACTGCTCACATTCAAAGGAAAAATTTAAAAGTTTTTGCTTATTCAGAAAACTGAGGAAAAGGGACTGTACTTACCACAGTTAAGTACTGCAACATCCTCCCATCTACTCTGGATTCATGAAACTGGTCTTTGTACTGAGGCAAGCCAATGTCATCAAGCCACCCTGCAGATATGAGAGCAATGGGGAACCAAATCCAGATTGGTGAGGATAAAACCCTTCTCCCCTCTTGCCTGGCTTCTTTTTAGGCATTCAGGTGGCTCATGCTACCTGTTCCCTTTCCTGAGGGAAGCCTCTTGCCAGCAGCCTGAAAGCAATTCCCACCAACCAGCTTTGTCCACAGCAGCAGTCCTGTGATATTTGATTTTACAACACCTGATGGAGCACATCCTCTGCAGCACAGTGGAGCCCTTCCCAGCCTGAGCCCACCCATTTGATTTCCTGATGTCTGACAGGGCTGCCCATGGAAGAACACACCACAAGCTGTACGTTTGGATGTCAAGAACAACAGAAAAATCCTCAATTCTTCTATGGGGAAACTTGGTGCTTTTTAAAAGGTGCTTGCTAAGTGTTTAAACATGAATCAGGCTGCCCTGTCATAGAGGTGGGAGAAATTCCTTCCCAACCAAACCCGGGGGAGTCCAACCACTTACGTGTCACCCAGATATGATCAAGTTGTGCAGACTTCTCATCTTGCTTTGCATTTATAGCTTTAATGGCCAAAACCAATTTCTTCCTGTGCAGTGGATGCTTTATTCCCATTTCCTGGAACAAACAAAAAAAAAAATTAACAAAAAGTTTGCCCTGCCTCTGGCTCCTTTCCTCACGTGAGGTAACTCTGAAAATTGACATGTGGATTTCAGAAAGGTAGAGCCAATGGTTTGGAGGGGCCTGGTGGGACAGAATCAGCAGTGATTACCTTTTCCATGTCCTGAGGAGTGGCAGTTAACAGCGTGTGGCCTGATGTCACCCACTGCCGGGCAAAAATCACGTACTGGCCCAGGCCAAAGTCCTCCAGCCAGTTACAAACTCTTTCAGTGCTCCACTGGGCAAAGGGGGCATTGTGGTCGCTGAAAAGCACAAGAAACATTGGGAAAACCTTAAAGGAAAGAAGGAATGTCCATATTGGAAAGCTCAGGGTGTGCCAGGGGCAGCACAGCAGCGGATCTGTTGGTGGGCTGTGTTCTGAGGCCTCCTGGGAATTTGGCAGCCCAGCCACAACCTGTGAACAGCTGCAGGGCAAATAAGAATTTTCCATCTTCTGCTTGAAAAGAGGAAAAAGAGGATTGCTGAATCCTCATCCTTATGCAGATGAGGAGGTAATTATTATCCTTGCTCTTTAACAAGGTGAAATTCCTGACGCTCCACCAAGCAGCTGCAACTTGCAGCTGGAGGAGCGCAGGCTGGGGACGGATTTTTGCTACCAGGGAAAATTCTTTCCAGCTGTTGTGGAATGCCACGTGGACCGAAACGCTTGGGCAAAGCCCCCAAGAGGAGGGATTGGCTGTTGGGCACATTTAAGAGCAGCAGGGAGAGGAGGAGGAGCTGTTACCTCTTCTGGCCTTTGGTGTCCTTGGATCGGGATAAGCGCGGTCCAGCTGTTGCCCGCAGACCTCCCCTCCGGAACTCGGCCAGCCCCAGGTCGTCTGCAGGGAAGTTACCTGACTGAGTCCTTCGAATTCTTGCAAGACAAGAGCGCCACGACAGGACTGTTAGCTGCTGACAGAGGATTTGTTTGTTCTGCATGGAAACTACAGCGACAGCTGACAGCTCGGGGGATCTCCCTGGGAACCGCAATTGCCAAATTCCAGAGGCAGCTGAAGGAGTTCTAGGAAATTCAGCCTGGATCTAACTCTGGGGGAAAATAAAGGAGCTCCACAGAGCACTTTGATCCAATTAATAATGCAGGCTTGGAAATGGCTGCTGTTGCTGAAGCAGATCAAGTGGACACAGTGTTCCTTCTGTTTCCCCCCTTTTTTTTTACCTAGTATCATTCATAACAAGCAAATTGCTACAATTTAATTTTTCATGGCTAATAAAACTGCTGGCATGCTAAATTAATAGCATTAAGATGACAGCAGTGCCTTATTTCTTTCACCAGCATGATGCTGTGAACACTCCCAACATTTTTTCCTCCCCCTTGTGTACAAAAGGACACGCCTGTGCAATCCCAGAGCTGTTTTTGCTCCCCAAATTTTATTTTATTCTTGCTACAGATAACTGTAGATTTTGCTGGAATTCATTCTCAGCTGAAATGCTTTGACAGTGAATAATAATAATTAAAAAAAGACCTTACTTTCCCCAGATTTTCTTGATCCCTTTTGGACTCTTTCTGTTTTCTGGAGCCCATGGAGATTGTGGACCTGAATCTGTTCCCGAAGGTGAGAGGTCATCCGAGACCACTGTACCATCCATGTTCTCTGTTTCCCCTGGGTTAAGAACAGCATTATAGTCACATTTTATACTCATTATTGATAAAGCTGCTGTCTGGGAGGCTGATGTTTAAATGCAGGACATGACACGAAAGTAGAGATACCTATAAAATCATTCTTTTTTAAAAAAAGCCAAACATGCTCAGAAGGTGAAAAAACAGCTGGACATTTGATTAAAATTAAAAAAAAAACCAATAATAAAACATTGGGTAAAATAATTCTGTTATTTCAGTCTTTTCTATTTAACTACGTTATTTAAATGAATTGAAAGTCCTCCTGCCTGCTCTTAATACCTCAGCTCCTCCATCAAAATCAGTGGGAATTTTTCTAAATTCAGTGAAAACAGAATGAAACCAGGCATAAGGGCCATAAAAAGAAACCCCATGTGAATGCCACACAGCAGGAGCTATTACTTCATTTCAGTACTGCATGTAAGGAGTTCAGTCTAGAGGGCCCAGCTGGGATTAGTATTTCACAGGGAAAGGGAGAGGGAAAGGAAAAAAACCAAAGTAAGCAGCAAACTGAGTGTTGAAGTTGCATCTTGTTTGGGTACAGTACCTAGCACGGGTGCACTGACACTCCTGCCGCGATCTTCAGTCATCCCAAGAAGCAGAAAGCCAGATGGAGAAGCAAAGAAGATACAAAACACCAGCAAAATAAAGTCACAGGAGGGCAAAGTAGTTAAGCTAAGCACTTAGAGCAGAAACAAAAAGCAAAAGAAGCAGTTATATATGGAAGTGAATATGCATTGGTGTGCACAAGCCCCAAGAACTCTGTACAGATCACCTGGAACAGGTAGGGATGGAAATGGATCTGTTTGGGCTTTCCTAACTATTCTTGGAAAGTTTCAGCTCTTTAAGCAAAGTCTACAGAGCTCTACGAAGCTGCAGAGTATCTGAAATGAAGCAGTGGCTGAGATTGCATCAAAAAATTGCTCTGAAATACAGAATTGGAGGTGGAATGAATTCACTGCACATGCAAGAAACAAACCAGCCTGCAGAAAAAAATTCTCTTAACTTGGTGTATTTAAGAAGCCATTGCTTGTTTCTAGAAAAAGAACATTTTCTTTTTCAAGCTCACCCACCCTTGGATAATCCTGCAGTTAAAGACACTTCAGCATGGCTCATGCGTTGCCTGCAAAGTTGCTCTTTAAAACCCCCTAAACAACCAAAACCTATTGCAACCTTGAAACTGCAGTGTGCCAGCAGCTTTAGGGACCACGAGGCCTTAAAATTCACCAACCCCCACCAAAGAAAAAAACCACTACAGCCAAACAAAAAAAAAACCCCTACTGTAACTTTTAAAGTGCAGGAAGACTTCAGAATCACAAGGGTTATTCTTGTGCTCCTTCAGTCCTAAAAATACCTGGTGCTGTGCCTCACTCTTAACACCTTTCTGTCAACAAATCTGTGCTTAAGGTGCCACTGGAAAGAAATTAATTCAGGATTCCACAGGGCTGTGGCATGGAAATATATTTGTAATTCCAGAGTCCACAGATGTTTTTCTGCATGTAGTAAATTAAATTTTCACTAGTGGGTCCCCCACAGCTAGGCAACCAACAGTGCTGATAGAGAGATTTTTACCCAAAACTTTCATGTTTTTGATGGTTGCACTATGAAGTTTCAAGTGGTATTGTCAAGTGCAACAGAAAAAAAAAAACACCCTCAAAATTAAACCCGTCCCTCATTCTGCCATGAGTTATGTGAGAAGGAAAGGGGAGAGGAGAGGAGAGGAGAGGAGAGGAGAGGAGAGGAGAGGAGAGGAGAGGAGAGGAGAGGAGAGGAGAGGAGAGGAGAGGAGAGGAGGGGAGAGGAGGGGAGAGGAGGGGAGGGGAGGGGAGGGGAAAGGGGGAAAGGGGGAAAAAAAGGGGAAAGGGGGAAAAAAAGGGGAAAGGGGAAAAGGGGGAAAAGGGGAAAAGGGGAAAAGGGGAAAAAGGAAAAGGGGAAAAAAAGGAAAGAGGGGAAAAAAGGAAAGGGGGAAAAAAGGAAAAGGACAAGAAAAAGGACAAGAACAAGAAAAAGAACAAGAACAAGAAAAAGAAAGAAGTAGCAGGACATTCCCTTAGTGAACCACGCGAACATCGCAGTGCAATGTTCTGGCACAGCAGATCCCATCCCACGCCATCCCAGCCCCTCAAACAGTTTGGATGCTCCCTCTGGGGGAGGCACAGGTACATACTCAGGCCAGGGACGCTGCTGTCACCGTTGTCACTGGTGCCACATCCCTCTGGGGAGCTGTACATTCCCTGCTCCCCGTTCTGCAGGGCTCGGGGCAGCTTTCCTGGCAGCGTCTGGTACTTGCTGCCTTTCCCCACTGGCTTACTCTGTTGTTTTTAAAAGAGGGAAAGATAAAATAAGTACAAAATTCAAACTGCTCACAGCGTCTGCAATCTGCTACGCAATGTTCTTAAAGCTGAGAAAAAAGTATGGTACAAAATGACTCCACTCCCTGCATGCTCCTGCTTACAGACAACTCAATTTCAAGCCATCCATCAGCTGAAAGTTTCCTAGCTAAGACACAGCCCTGCCTTACCTCATCTGCTCCTCCCACTTCATCCACTCTGCCTTGCTTTAAAATATATGTTAAATATTACCTGGTTTTGCCATAAGAATTTTCCTAGCTGTCTCCCTTTCCTCCAGGACCCTGTCACTAATTAATTGTTTGATCTTTCCAAGGTCAACTTTGATAGTACCAAAAATGTGTTTAGTTACTTCTCAGATCATTTTTTCTCCCCCATTTTCCACCAGACTTTCTCTGTTTCTGCCTCACAGCTGTATCTCACTGGAATTCAACCCAAAAGTATTTGTACACCTCAAATTTCCACAAGCGTATTTCCTACCACCGTTAATAACAGTAAAAGAATCAAAGCCAAAGTTAGGGTACAGAAATTTAACTTTTGTAAGGACAAAAATCTCTTTGCATAGACAGAATTGTAAATGAGATTTTTTTTTTTTTTAATAATTACAGTTAATATATTTGCCAGTTCTATCACAGAACCTAATTTTCCTTGCATTCAAGTGATATCTACTTGGGCACCTTGCTCCTTTTACAAGGGTAGATGAAATGTTCCCATAAATCTGATGGCTTTGAGCCTAATAAGTTAATTTTCCAGGCAGAGCACATGTTTCAGGGGAGTACTTTTGCCTACAGTTTTGGAAATGGTCTGTTGGGTTTTCTCCAACACTGAATCCAGAGGAAAAGATGGACAAAACAACCCTGTGGGTGAAAGCTGCAGGACAGGGATACTTTTTGAGACATCAGTGAACCTGCAGCTCCAGCTGCCATTATTAGAGGGAGTAGTGTACATCCAATATGTGTTTTGGAATAAACTCCCACTGGGAAAGGTTTCAGTGTCAGAATGGAGGTTTCACAGGAAAACTTTGCACTGGAAATAGGCAAACCATATTTAATACACAGCAAAGTACAGCGTGCTTCTATTCAGTTACCCCACTCCAACAAAATTTTTTCAAAACATTTTCTGTGAAGGATGATACATTAAAAATTCTATGAGATAACCACTGCTTTATCTGTTCTGATTCCAAGGCCTAGAGGATTCTTTGGATACTACAAATGCAGGCCAGATTGCTCAGGTCTTCGACTCCTGCTCCTTTTTGGCAACTGCAGGAGTACATCCTGACTTGTACCAAAAAGAGTAGAGAAATTGTGTCTTACATCAGCAGTGTGCATTCTGAGACTGACTGACCTCAGCTTCATGTAACAAGCTTCTAGATAAAAAGTAAAAAACCAAAACATTTCCCTCTCAAATCTTTACCCCTTGTGTTGTTTGTCAGCACTGGAACTATGCAAACATTTTGAAGAGAAAAGGAATATAAAATGCGAACCAGCCATACCATCACAGCACATCACACCACACCAGAGAATTGTTAGGGAAGGATGCAGTTAATATACCTCTTGTTCTACAACAGGCTGTGCTGGTTTTCCATCTACATACTATGGAGTTTCAGGGAGGGCAATTTCAAAGTTTTGTGGAAAAAAGCAACAGACAAATGTTAGTATTAACATACATACATGGAACATCAAATGTAGTCTTATTGCTATAGAGATGGTGCTTAATGTATGGACAATATATTACAAGGACCTCTTAATTTCATCTCAATCCAATATTTAATACTAATTGTGTTTGTTCATTCCCCACTCTACAAAATTCCTGTTTACATTCTATTGTGATCAAAGGAATTTTGCTATTTTCAGGTTTCTGGGTGGTCCCTTTAGAGTTGCTTTGAGCTGGGAACACAACAGCTGTTTAACAGACCAATATGAAAACAAGTGATATTAAATAATACACACAATCCTGTATGGATCCAGCTGAAATCATAAAGAGCTCTGACAGAAACGAAGCGATAAAAATTCCACCACAGTTAGGTCAGGGACACTGATGTGGTTTATTATTTTATTATTATTATTAATTCTTGCAGGAAGCAGGGGAACTTTGAGCTTTGAGCAGCACAAATGCGTAGGTCCAGCCTTATCACACCACATCACAGAGACAAATTCAGATTTTTGGTTTAAGACAAGAAAATAACTAAAAGTTATGACAGGAAAACCTTCATCAGTTCTCCATGGAATGAAATGAGAGTTCTGATTTGTCACATGTGTGACTGCAATCAAATCAATGCAGCACAAATTTCAAAAAATTCATTCTACTTGGTCACTACCATCTCCAACAATTCAAGAAATATATGAAAGCATTTAAGAAAAGTTTTTTAAAATGTAAGAACTGGAGCAATCATTTGACTGGTATCTGGTTTCAATGGCATTACTAGATATTAAGTCTAATTTGGGTACAGAAAAAAACAACTGTCTCACAAAGCAGAATTTAAAAAGTGTAGAAAAATGTCAGTGTACATAAAGACAAAACAAGACTGTGGACCACAATGTAACAAGACTTTGCAAACTGGGAAGATTTATTCTGGAGTGGAATTAAAGCCCTTGAGGTGCTCCTGCTGCTGCCAATTTCAGGGATGCCTTTTGTATCAGAAAGCTCAGGGAAAACACTGCTACTTGCACACACCCAAAAAGGAATCCTGTGTTGAAATACCCTGTCCCAACATTTAGCTACTTTCAGGATTAGCAGCCTAAATATTTTTGGTGATTTGGAAGTAAAATAAATTAAAAAAAAACACCCTATAAACAAAATAATACTGCAGTTTAACAAAATGACTCCTCATTATTTCTCGTATTTCACTTAAATATTTTTATCTCAGGGCAAAAACTGAATTTGAAGGTGTGTCCACATGGGTGTGTCAACCAGCTTAGAAATGGTGGGGGGGGAAAGAACCTGAGCTGTTTTAGGGCTCTTTCCTCACATACAGAGTTAGTGATGGTTAAAGTTACTGTGTGCATAACAAAAACAAATGTTTATACTTGATCTTTGTCATTTAGCTGTGACATTAAACACCAGAAGCTGTGATTACAAATGAACCAACCTTTTCCAAGGATTCACTCTGCAAGTCTTCTAAACTACTGGACTTTTTTTTCTGTGGAGCCCTTAAAAAAGGCACAGGCAAAGAAGAAGCAGTCAATAAAACACGGTTTGTTTGCATCTCACCACTGTCTTGTGAATAAGACATATAATGTCTGCATGAAACATAGCTCAGAATTAAGACATTTATTTATTTTATTGTGCTTTTAGTCTGAAAATCATGGCATTGAGAACAGAAGGCAGAAAGAGCAACAAGGCATCCTCTGGCCAGCAGTGAAAGGCAGCCAGGTCCAGTGGGCAGCTGCAGCCTTGTTACTCTAGATGATTTTAGGAACTCTTAACAAGCACAGCAATAACTCTCTGAGAGCAATGTGTAACCTTTAGGGATTTTAGAAAGGGAGATTGTTTCACATTTTGATGAAAGTTACTTATTCTTACCTATTTGTGACTTCCAAAGAGTCTTCCTGCTGAGAGGTTAAATTACTTGAAGGTACTGGACTGCTTCCACTTTAAATAGAAATAAATTTATATATAAATATATTAAAATATTATATATAGACATAAATATGAAAACATATTTTATATAAATAAATATAAACACAAATATATATAGCATAACAGAATATATAGTATATATTTTTCATATATATTTATAATATTAATATTTTCATTCTATATAATATTAATATACTACTATATTCATTATAATATGAATATATTAATTCATAGTCAAAATATATATTATATAAATATATAATGTATGAGATATAAAAATGCTGAATTATTCCTATAATTTAAAACTTAAACATCTGAGCATTGCCAACATCCACAACAAGCAGAGCTTTCAGAAGTGCCCCAAACTGCAGCAAAGCCAAGAACAGTCAAGAGAAGATGCCAACAGTTAAACAGTCTAAATAATACAATTTAGCACCACAGGAGAGAGAAAGGTCTTGCCTGATTTCCATGTTTTTGTGTGGCACTGGAGGGAGCACAGCTGGTGACAACTCTCCTGCAGAGGCCTGGGGAAGACACAAGAGTTTCAATACTGTGGCTTTGGTGTCTTCTGCTGAATCTGCTGTGCCCATATGAATAAAAACAAAAATTCTGCCAGGGCTGAACCCTCACCCACATTACTACAGAGAAACCAACAGCAAAAAATCATCTGTGCAGCAGAACCTGCTTGTAGAACACCTGTACCTCTGTTTTCAGTAATTCCCCTTGAGAGTTATTCAGAAGATTCCACTTCATTAAAGTTGCCTCAAGTTCCTCTTCACAGCCACCAGAGACAGGAGAGCCTGAAAGCATTGGAGAGTAGGAAGGGAGAGAAACAGGAAAAGCTTGCTCTCTGCAGTATCAGCTCAGCAATCCAGAGCATCATGGCTTGCTCCTTGCTTCTTTTTATTTATTTACTTAATGAATGTTCACAGAGAGATTTACTCTCATTCTCTATTTTGTGTATTAATTACATTCACTCTCATTCCAAATGTTTGTGTGTTAAACACAAGTTTCCATTCTGCCATGCAAGGCCTAAAAATATTGTTATTGCTTGTTAATGTGACGGTGTGCATGGAACAAAACTGTCCTTTCAGAAGGTCAAGTGTCCCAGATTCGATCTAGTGCTGAAAATTATGGTGGCAACTTAAAATGAGACAGTCCTAAAGCCCATTCCACTTCCTACACTGTATAGGAGAAATGGGACACAGATTTATTTCCCTCCCCTCCTCAGATTTTGAAGTTAAAACCACAGAACTGTGTGCAGCAAAGCAATGTGGGTTTTCAGTTTTGCCTTTTGTCAGTTGTCAGGGTTTTCCTCAGTGGAAGGAAAATGAGTTCTCCCTCTCTGGGATCATTTTATGCTGCGAAACATGGCTGGTGGTCACAGGTCAAAATGGTCACAGGACACAGCACATAAACTAAAAATAAAAGCAGGAAATTATTCCCAAGCCATTTTACCATGAGCTGCAATCATGATGTCCTTGACCCTCCTGTACTGGCTTAGCAGTAGTGTCAGCTCCTCTATCCGACGGTCCTGTGGAAAACATGAAATGAATTAAATTACATTTAAAATCTTTCCTTTTTAACTGCAGAAACACTGTACTACATCTCTGTGATTTTAATGAAAACAGGCTCAGTCCTTCACATGCCTCGTAAGGAATGTTTTTTGCCTTTGTGCACAATATTTGCTGGACAATGTGAAATTATAGTTGTAAGGAAACCAGAGGAGTTTGACATTACAGCTTTTTTTGAGAAATAAATGTTATGAGCTACATTAATGATCTCCAGAACTAATGTTTCCCTGTCTGGATTCCCTACTTGCTAAAGGAACTTTTCAGGGATGCAAATTATTGTCTATGTGATCATACATGGGCATGCCAGCATCCAGAAAAATCCCATGGCTTGATTTGTTACCACAAAAATGACAGTCTCCTGAAGAATGAATCCCCTTTCTCATTTAGTCCTTACAGAAAGTGTGTTATTTGGAACACTTCAGAGATTCAAAACCATAATTTCATTCTTAGCACATAGAACAAGGATTATTTTCTCACCTTTTCTTCATTTGCAGCCAATAATGTCTCCATTCCTATCTTCAACCTCTGAACTTCTTGGTCTGAAAATGTTTTAAAATGTTGTAAGAGAAATAAGGCTTGTTCTGTATACTGTAAATAGATGTTTTGTGATACTTTCCCTGTGTTTTTACTAATAACCAAAACTATGTCAGTGGGGTGGCCATATCTACATTTAGTGTAGATTTTTACAGAAGCTGAACTATAAAAAGTATTACACAACACAAACATCATGGTTTTGCTTACAAAAGACTGCATAACACTATTTTTAACTATGACAATCAAGCAATGGAAAAGAAAAAACCACAGAAGCTCATTTTGCAAAAAAGATGACAGTGTGTTTGCTGTTATGTTCTTAAGGAAATAATTTAAAGTAGGATTGAAAATATATTCCATCTGAGAAGTAGCTAAAGTACATTCAAGAATTTGGGAATGAAAAATAAGAAAAACCTGCTTTGATAGAAGGAAATTCTGTAAAATGTTACTTACTTAAATGTGTCAGTATGGGCAACTTGGTTTTAAATCTACATCAGGAGCTAATGGAGAATTTCCTCACACACAACTTAGTGATAGAGGTTAACCAGTGATGTTAAAATCAAGTCAATTAAAACACCCTCTCTGAAACTGATGAGGTTGTCAATCACATTTAACTTTGCTGAACCAAGTCTCTCATTTTTCCCTACAACAATAGTCCCAGCAAACCTTCCTGAGTAAACCAAGTGTGATGGAGACAGAAACTGAGATAGTTCCTGTGTTGTAACTCCCACCTCCAGCTATTCATGCTTTGACATTACACCAGACACCACTGTTCCCAAAAAACCATGAAAACAGATGCAGGAAGGGAGAGAGGGGAAAGAAAATCAACATTGCCAAAGAGCATCTGTGAAAAAAGGTTTTACAAATGAAAGTTGAACACACAATGTCATAGCTAAACTATTTGAAAAAGCTGCAATTAGTTTTTATTGCAGGGATTCTGGAAAGTGCACGCCTTGCAATGAGTAAGTTTAAAAGATGTACATGAACCTCACAGGTGTTTTCTCAAAGAAGAGACACAGGACATGCACAGGCAAAGCCAAATCAAAAACTAAAGCCAGCAGGCAGTGGGCAAGCAACTGGGAGACTTTTTAAAAAAAATCAGTCCTACTAATTTCTTTTTATAAATGTTAGACTTCAAAAAGGACTGGTGTCAAGGTAGATTTAGGCACACTAAAGCAAATTTTACTTACAGTATTCATTAACATCATCAAGTATGGGGACATTTATTCAGACTTTAAAAAAAAATGCAATGATTTTTTTGATGCAGTGATTTAAAAAATAAAAAAGCCTAAATCCTCCCCTCCAAAGAGAAAGGCTTTCAATTAAAGCTGTCTTTTCTGTTATTAAATGGGGTTTACATACGTGCAAATAAAAGCGAGCAATTGTTACGTTTTGGCTCTGTTAACCTTGCCAACATCCCTTTGAAGTCCAACAATTTGATTTGTGCACCTCTGACCTTTATTTCTGCAGTGAAATCTCCCTGAGCAGGGAAAGGAGCTGTCTGCTTGCTGCAGGCAGTGAAAGCAGCATCTCGTGTGTGTTACAATTAGACAGCCAAGTCTAAACAAACACGGAATTATTGCTGCAGGAGGCATCTGAGTTAACATTGGTGTGAAAGGAACAGTGAGGTAAAGCCGAAAGGGAATTGCAAGGCTTACGTTTTTCTTTTAGCCTTCTCCTATAAACTTCCTCTACGATGGGAAGTGGTGAGAGTCAAGTAAAGTATGTAGAAAAAGCACACATTAGATCAATCCTGCAATTTAATTAGGATATGCATTCTAGCATTCTACAAGTACATTCACATCATTTTTCAACTTCATTTGAGAAGACCACCTGAAATTCTGATCGATCAGTAATTTTTGTTTGGTTGGTTGTTTCTAGAAGGATTGTTACTGTTTCCATTCAAATACAGTCTAAGTGCTTTCCTTGAACAGAGCCCACAGATTTTGTAGAGGGTTTGATTCTTCTGCCACTGGAATCAAGGACAGTTTCACCACACTGCTAGAACCTGAACGCTGCTGAGCTCTAAATTTACTGTCATACCACTATCTTTCCTTTGAAATAGCCTAAATGATTTGGGAATCTCACAGAAGATACATATTTCTATTAGTAGAAGGGTTCCTCTACCAAGCACTGCTGTTAGACAAACTAATTTTCTGGTTAGACATGCAGCTCTCTACATGCACAAGCGCTGCAGCTGGGTGAGATCACCACAAGGAGATGTTAAGTCACTCTGTTGGAATGAACCAGAGCAGGTTCCTGGGGAGCCCTGGGCAGGGGGAAGCACAGCACATGGAAATTCACATCCCAGCCAGGGCAGTGTTGGGAAGCCTCAGTTAGCACCCACAGAAGCTGTTAGAGCAGCAAAGCTGATGCCCTGTGCTGAACTGCACACAAACACTCCTGCATGGCTGGTGCTGCAGAGGAAAAATTCCATATTCTAATTCCCTAATTCCATATTCCATTCCCTAATTCCATATTCCATTCCCTAATTCCATATTCTCCTGGCCCAGCAGTTGGCAAGAGCCCCAGGGAGGGAATATTTCAGAGCTGTGGCACCACTGGTTGAGACCAAAGGCTAAACAAACTGGTTTGTCATTCCATTGACCTGTGTCAACAGAGACAAACAGAAACCCGCAATATCACCTGCCCAGGCTGGCAGGGACACTGAAAATGCAAACCTTTCATGGGACAGGGAGCCTGAATGAGACACAGCCATGAAGAAAGGAAGCAATGACTCTTTTAGGATGTTTGGTCATTGAAACATTAGGCTTAGCTACTACCACGACCCTTTTTTCCCCTTGTAAACCAGAAACTGGTTTCAAAGAAATTTTCAAGGTATACCTGAAAAATAAACTACTATGAGTCTTTACAATTACAAATAAAACACCAACAGAAAAAGTTTCAGAGTCCCGAGGATACTTATTTCAATTTGTGCTGCTTCTAGACTGGAATGGAATTTCACACATTAAAGGCCTCTCCTCTACCAGAACACAGAATGAATTGACATTGCTTACATTGCTTTTCCTCCCATAATAAACTTTAAGTCCATCCTTGCATTTCTTTGAATCTCTTTGCAACCCAGTGTCCAAGCTGCTACCAAAGCAAACTTAAAGTAGGGTTCTGAATTTTTAATTTTGTTTTCCCTCCTCTTACCTCTTTCTGCCACTTCAGTGTATGAGGAGGTCCTGGAGAGCTGACTCTGCAAACGTTCTATCTCTGCATCTTTGAGAGCCAGCTGCTCCTGGAGCTGGGCTATCTCAGCCTGGAAAAGAGCACAGCAAAGTCAGAATAACTTCCCCACCCACTGTCTGTGAGTCTTTCCCAGGAAGGAGGAGATGTCTGAGTGAGGCTGTGATTGAGGTCAGTTATCAGCTTGGGATATTTCACAAACACCAGGACAACTGTACATGTTTATGCTGCTATTGCTATTAGAGAAGCTCAATTTTCCCCATGCAATTAGCTCTTGGAGAAGGCAGACAAACATTTCCAAGGATTTATGTAGGTAAGGAAACTCTGGAAAGCTCTCAATGCTACAAAGTTGGTACAACAACAACAACCAACAATCATCCAACAACCACCCAACAACCACCACCCACCAACAACTACTACTACTACTACAGGAAACTCAAACTTTGCATGGAGACCTCTAAAAGATAGCAAAGGATTTTTAAACAGATACTGGTGGTTTTTTATTTTATTTATGATCTATTTTATTATTTATTTTTATTTTTAATCCTAGTTCCTACCTATTAGTATAAGTGAGAATCTATTAATACTGAGCCTTCTCTGCAAGACAACAAAATTATTTTTTCTCAAAACAGCAAATAGGGTTGAAGGAAAGCACGGTCCCACCACACATATGCAACAGAATCCCATATTCATTTACATTTACTGGAGTTTTAGGGCTGCCACCCGATTTGCATGGAAAACCCCACATGAAAAAGCTCAAGAAGACAGAGGGAGAAGAATTCTGTGATTGCTCAGCTTGAAATGCTGTGATTCTAATCTGGTTTTTGTATTTATGAGAAAAACTGCCGGCAGCATATTTTGGTAAGTCAGCGGTTTGATAAGGTTTTCTTCAGAGGTCTCAAAATCATTGTGTGTCAACATTCTACATTTCCCCTGCAAAGGCACACAAAGCTTCCTTGCAGATGAAGGACAAAAGGAAAAAAAAAAAAAAGGGGTGGGGAAAAAGGGAAGAAAAAAGCAAAGAAAAAGGACAAAAAAACCCCATGACCAGTTTATCAAAATAAAATAAAGCAGGAAAGATGCAAACCACCAAAGGACATTATCCAAACAGGGAGAAACATGGATTAATAAACACATAAACTTATTTTCACCAGGAAGCAAGCAGCTGGATTGCAGGATAACATCACTGCTCTGCCTAAAATTCCATGTGGAATAGAAGAATCTGCCTTGCTGCATCTCTGAAGGGCTCCTACACTTCCCAATGACTAATATGCTTTTTATATCCAGCCATGGATTTATTCCAATCTCTCATCTAAGAAGCTGGAACAACAGGAAGACAAAAGCCTGCAGACCTCTTAATACCACATCTGGATTTGGCTCCCCTGGTCTACTCAGCCTCAGAGCTCTTTCAAAGGCTCTCTTTTCCCTTAATATCTAATTCTTGTCATCTCTAATTATTTTTATGCTTCCTCTCTCTTTCTTTTCACTTCTCTTTCTTTCCAGTCCTGCACCTTCTCTCCCTCAGTGGGTCTTATGATTCTTTTTTCCAATTTTTCCTCTGCTCCTACTTTTTCCATAATGTCTGTCTTGGCAGCTGGCCACACACTGCTTGAGAAAATATTTTCCCAAAGGCTGTTCATCTCCACTATGTCAGAGAAAACATCTTCACGGATTGAAGAACTATTATCTTAATGAGAAAAAAAGACATGGCAGCAACATTCTGTTATTCATCCAAGAATTCTCAAAAGAAAGAAATGCTAATACAAATAATAGCTGTTTGTCATGTCTGGATCAAGCTATCAAGCACTGAATAGAAAATTCAGTTTAGTAATTTTGAAATGTTTCTCCAAGATTCAACCACAAGTCAAGAGTCAACCATTCATATCAACAGGGATTATTACACAAATGAAAGGAGATGTGATTGCAGCACAAGAAGGAAAAATTGTAGGGTGCTTTTAATCCAGTGGAAAAGGGCTAAAAATTCAAACTAGAAAAAACAGTAAGAATGTTCCACTAGAAAAATTAATTCCTGGGGAAAATGATTAAATGTTTGACATGTCAAGTTTCTCCAGATTATGATCCAACAGCTATGTAGGACTTAAGGTCACCAAAAGTGTAAGGCAGCTGTGCAGTGTGATGTACACAAAGTCAAAGCAGATGATCTAATGGTGTATTTTGGGCTTAATGTCTGTGAAAACAAATTCCATAGTAAGCAAACACCCAACAAACTTTGCATGCCTCTTCAGGAAAGTACATCCCACAGAGGCTTGTCACCATTACACAGATCAAGGCTAGGAGGCCTTCAGAGAGGCATTTTCTCTGAGCAACTCTTTGCAAGTCAAAATGCCTTTTGTGGTTTCCTAAAATAAGAACTGCAAGAAGGACCAGACTGAAAACTGCATGGAGGGAGCAAAAGGCACAAAGAAAGCTACACCACCTTCAAACTAAGATATTGATTCCAAAGGTGGTTAAAGAAAACTTGACTTCACAGCTACCCTGCACAAGCTAAATGCCAGATAAGTAGATATTGATGAGAAATGGAGCATATCCCCTCCCAGCTGATACATGCCTGTCATTGGAAAATGCCAGGGATTGTGCTTACTTTGGTTGCTTTCAATTTCCACTCGTACTGATTTCTTTCGTTCTCCAGTTCTTCCACTTTAATTTTGAGGTGTCTGAGTTCCTGTAGCAAACCCTGCAGAGGAAGAAGGAAATTAAAGGCAAGGTTTTTCAGGCAGATATTAATTTTTCCCCATCCTGAATTACAGATCATGCATGAACCACACAGTATTCAACATTGAACTGCCACACTAAAAACTGTGACCTGCTCTAGGAAGCTGTCCCTTAAATGTCCCTTTTCCCAGTCCTTGATAGAATTGTATCTTACTCGCTAAAAGACAATATTATTAAAACCTTGATGGAGCTCTAACAAGACAAAATGTCTTAAAATGAACTGAGGAAAGGAACAGTTTGGAGGAGTAACCCAATTTTAGACTCCTGTGCAGTACATACATTAAGCACCACACTAACATCTTGGATTACACGAAGATTTATTTGGAATGACTTCTAGATTTGATTCTTAGATTATTTCTCTAACCTAAAGCCTGTAGTTCCAATAGTCCATTAAGCAGATCTGCACAAAAACAAGCCCAGAAACAACAGCACTATTTTCAAAATATGTGTAACACAGAGGATGGTTATTTTTATAATATAAACCTATGAGAGAAATTACTGAAAAATCCCCTCAAAATACAAGAAGATTACTTATGAGTTCTGGGCATGCAAATTTTAACCAAAGAAATGTGGCAACAACCTGATTTGAAATCAAGTATTAAAATGTTTCTTTCTAGGTGTACTAGCATCATTCCACCTTCAGTGATATGAAGCCATTTATGCAAAGTACCTTTTGTTTTGCCATGTGACACATGTTTCATCAAACACAACCAGGATCTGTTATGTAAATTCTGGTACCTGCTAATGGCAGGGAATAAACAAAACTGTGATGGATTTTCTATTTTAAAAGTACCAGCAGATGATTTTTATTATGTCTCTTTTAATTAGAAAAAGAAAGGGTACATATCAGAGAATCTTAGCTGAGATTATTTGATATCTGTGTTAAGCTTTTAAGATGTCCAGGAATCAATAATCTGTGTTCAGAGGAATGGTTAGGCCACACCATCAAGCACAGCTGGGGTGGCATCATCATGAGCAAAAGCAGCAAACTACAAACCATGCCAGCATGCTGCACAAAATCAGACAAATCTCAACCCCTAAATCCAAAAAAAACCCACACCACACCAGCACTGCAGACTTACAAGTGAAATGGAAACTGTGAAAAATCTGAAAGGGGTTTTACAGATTTCTGTGCTTTAGCAGATCAATGGTGACCAAATTTGTCCCAGTAATTGGGGTGGAGAGCCTGGGGTGAGATTTATTTTTTTTTTCTGGTCATTTTTTTATGGCACTCTCACTCTTTGCTAATGAAAGCCACAGAGATTAATGCCAAAACATTCCCAAGGCAGCTCTGGTTAGTGGAATTTAGTTTCTGCAGGAGGGAGAAGAGGCAATACAGAGGCTTCTGCCAAGGGGAGCTTCTCGTACTTCACACCGAGAGCAATTCTTCTGGCCCAGGGGCTCTACTGATCTTGCACCACTTTGAGCACCATTAGGGGTCAAGTCTGCTTTCCTATCTTGAGACTTTCTTTCTTGGATCCTACTATTAATTTCCAGCTGCAGTCTACACATCTGCTCCTGTAGGTCACTGATCAGGTTCACTACTGACTGAAAACAGGGGAGGAAAGGGAGAAAAAAAAAAGACAAAAAAAATACAGGTGAGAAAAAAAAAATGATGCAAAGAATACATTTCTACAGTTGCAGCACAAAGAAATATGTGAAGCACATCAAAGGCAAACTAAAAAAAGACAGATTATGTGTTTCCTTTCTGATAAAGTTGATGTAAATGAGTATAAACCTGGAATATTGCACAAAGCCACAGTTTACATGGAACAGAATCTATGTTCCAGACTAATTCATGATTCTGACTCTGAAGTTAAGATCAGAAACTTTTTTTGGAAAGTTTCACAGTCATGTGAGGGATCATTTGGAACATATTATAATATGCTGGCTCAGAGGCAGACTTCTGCTGAAATGGGACTTGATTGCATTCATTTACCCTTCCAAATCACCCAGTAGGAAGAAACTGCAAAGTGCTCAGCTGGGGCCATAGCCTGCTCTTTGATAATTTATACACAGAATAATAATATACCAGCAAAGTAATTCTGTTTCCAGGTCTAGCACGAGGCAGAAAAATAACTCCATTACGTCTCTCTCTGTCTGGGCAGGATCTTGAGTTGGGGGAGTTAAGCAACAGATGCAGGAGAAATCAGGAGAATAACACAGAAGAAAAAGTAATTATTTGAAAGTGCACCAGTCTGCTGGTCAGATTCTTGGATTTGTGTGTATCAGTGATACACACACACAAAAATCCAGCTTAGAAAGCAAACCAAAGTATGAAAATCTATATGATATGTCACCTAAATTCCCCAACTCTGTAGCAAATAGCACTGAGCATTTTTTCAGGCATCATGAGTCTGAAGTGCCTTTCTCTTAGCTTTCATGGACACTAGTAACATAAGTTTTGTGGTTTCTCAATCTTCTCAGATGGAACAAATTTGAGGAGTTTGATCCATCTTCCAAAGGAGAGAAAAAGATTTCAGTGGACAGAACAACAGATGACGTGGCAAACAATTTTTTTTATTATTTTCTTTATTAGAGTTGCCAACAATCCTCCTGTAACCTCAACTCTGCAGTAAAATCAGGAGTCTTAGAGCTAGGGAACAGCAAGGACAGGGCGGTAACAGCATCCACAGTTAACTTTAAACATCCACAAAGATTCACCTAACTCCTACAAAAGAGTTCCACACATTTGAGTATTTCCTAGCTCGCTGTTTAAGATGAAATTCAGAAAAGCCCCATTACATACATTTTACTTTATACATATTATGCTCAATCAGGATCATAATGTCTGATGCTCATCCACTTTCACCCAGCAAACCTTTAATGGACATAAATGAGGATTAGGTTTGGTTTTTGTTTTACCATCCTCTCCACAATCAGGAGAGCAGCACCAGCTGGGGATGGGGACTGGGCAGGACACACATCCAAATCCCTTGTTCTCTTCACAGAGAAAAGCAAGGCACAATTATTCCCAAAGATTTCTGAGATTCACATTCTCTGAACCTCAGAGAAAGAGAAAACACAATTCCTATCACTCACTGTACCTGTGCTGTACCAAAGTAGAATGCAATATAGAGATTGTTTGTCCAAAGTGAAGATGTTTTGTTTCCTCAGGGCCAACTCTGTGTGTGTGTGTCAGCTGAGAGTCACAAGGTTCAGTACAGAGTGAGCAGTTGTGTGCAGAGTGAATGCTTAACAGATTCAGTTTAGATAAGATGTATAGAGAATAGTATAACAAAGTCATTAATTAACCTTCTAGTATCCATAGAGTCCTCCTCATCATTCTCTCCCTGTTGTTGGAGTCGCCTTTGATTTACAATAGAAACCCTTATCCCAGGGGAACTCCAGCTGTGACTTCCCAATTGTTTCAGTTTCAAGGTAGAACAGGCCTTTTTGAGGCTCTTTCCCAGCATGAACATCCATCAACACTAACTACACCACCTTGGTTCAGATGAGACAGCACACCAGGCTCCCCAGAGGGAGTCAGTGCCTCACTGACTCAGGTTTCTTTGGAATTGCAAGTAGCTTCGCACTAGATCTTTAATTCAGAAGCTGCAAGAGCCACAAAATACTTGACAGCAGCTTACAGCCAAACCCAAAGACTTATCCCATGCTACAAAAAGGAAGAAGCAGGACAGACAGAAAGTCTCTTCTGTCCACGTTCAGGTAGAGCAGACATCTGGGCAGCCACAAATCTTATGACAATGCTGCTTCCTCATACCTTGCTACATTAAGAAAAACACATTTTCAAAATTTCTGAGGCTTCTCAGGTAAGAGAAAAGCCACACAGCCCCTTCAGGTGAGAGTCCAGAAACCTTCACAGCATTACTGTGTCAAAAGTAGGACTTCATTCCCCAGAAAAGGAATTAAAGTGACAAAGCCAGGAGTGAGATAGTTCATGTACAAGCAGCTATTCTCCTGGCCCACCTGTAATATATACATAAATAAGTGGCACTTTATATTTAGTATGTACTTTTGAAGAGCCAGAGACAAGTGGCATTCAGTGTGAAATAAATACCTGTGAGAGGAGGCTAGAGATGCTTGATGAACTCTTTGCTGCTCAGTAAAACCAAACCTAAATGACAGCTGCACAAGATAAAGTGAAACCAATCTTACACATTAAAACTCACATTTGGATGGATGTCTTAATTTGCTTTCTTTCCTCCCAGCCCAACTAGAAAAATAATTCTATAGATAAATTCTACGTGACTGGAAACAGCTGCTGTGAAATAAGCCGACACAAAATTAGAAGAGAGAGAAAACAGCTGAATGACCCTGCAATGTCACATTTAATTTAAAACTTTTAAAGCCCCATTATTATATTTAGAAATAGCAGGGTCAGCCATGAAGTATCTGAACAAGCTATTTAAAATGGTTTAACTACCAGATGCCAAAACCAAGAGCAAACTACAGGTAGGCTGTTTGTTTTTGTCAAAGTGGTTTCTTCATTAGAAAGATGTAGTTGGGCAGTGGAGGCAAAGAGTACAGGAAAACACTCAAAATATGACCAAATTGAAGTAGCTGTAATTTAATAATGTGAGGAACATGAATAAATTTCATTCTGATGTTTGAAATCATGTCTGTATTGAAAAATTAGTATAATTTACAGGAAAAGGAGCAGAAATAGGGTTAAACCATTAGAATTCAACTAAGCATCTTATTTGATTGAAAGCAACTCGTGATAAATGGGATTAATGCTTATTCAGGAGAATCTGAAATAAATACACAAGTAACTCAACCAGCAAACCAAAAATGCTGTTTGTTTCCCACACCTTTCCTTACTTTGCACACACAAAGGTTTGCAACTTTCAACATGCCAGAAACCCAATCACACTTTGGGGTAGTAAATAATTCAGCCCACACTCCACACAAGGATTCTCAACTTTTCCATCAGATTAGAATCCTTTTTTCCATCTCAGCAGGAACGTGTCCTATCACTTTGCACCACCAGCACCACCACCAAAGGCATCCAGGCTGCTGGAGCTCACCTTTCCCACCCAAGGGGGCACACACCTCACTGCAGCAGCAGCATTGCACAGCTCACAGCACCAAACCTCCCAGGCACTCAAAAAACCCTGACCATAAAAATGCACCCAAAAATCCTGACCATAAAGATGCACCCAAAAATCTTTGCTGCTTTCCAAGAGCCAGGCTGGCTCTGCAATAATTTAGGCAGCCTCAGCCCTGTATTCTACATTCATGGGAGGCACTGGGAGGCTGCCATCTGTAGCTGCTCAGACCTGCTCAGATTTTCAGGTAGCTTGAGAGTGCTCAGGCCCTCTCTGTACACAAGGCACTGGCAATTATGTCTGAAAGAGCACCAGGAGGGCCACAGGTGGTAAAAACAGCAGCTGGTGCCTCTCTGGCTTGAAAGCTCTGCCAAAAATTGCTCTCTTTATGTTATCTTTGAATCTCTAAAGAAAACTTCAGAGAATAAATAAGTTGAAAGCAAACACACCCCGAACGAGCTATGTCACTGCAGGCAAAGTACTGATGCATAGTAATCAAGTTATCACCTATTCCACTAGCAGAGTTGTGGAGAGCAAACAGTTCCTAATGTTGCCTGGAATTCAAATCCTCCTAAGTCAATGTGGAACAAAGTTTGGTGTGGTTTTTCTTTGTTTTTCCAGTCAGCAATGTGTAAATCTCAGACTCAGCAATCCTTCCTTTCCAGGCAGTCCTCTCCTGCTGGCTGGTCCCCTTACAGGACCACTGAGTAGAGCAACACATTTGTATGAATTTCTCTCTTCCATGATTGCTTTCCTCCCCAGCTCCCACCTGCTGCTCACCACCATGATATGGATGTTGCTCAGATGAATTTCCTGTTTTATATTCTCTTTCTTAACCAATACAGCAAAACCCAAAGCTCCTTTGATGTCCAGAGCTCTCCACATCTGAAAGGGAGTAAGGGCTGAAATTGCCTCCAGCCCATGATATATTTTTGTCCTATTTATTATGCAGCCACAAGGGGAAAGACACATTTGAGGCAAATGCTCTCCCAAGTGCCACAAATACATTAAAATCCCTGATGTCAGTGCTTGTGACACCTCTGACACTAGTGAGCTGACAATCTTTTCTGCTACAAAAATGATGGAAGGCCTGGCACAGCCATGTCAGTGCAGCTCCCAGGGAAAGGAAAGGGTTAAGTGAACACCCACTGCAATAAATGCTTCTGGAAAGGAATCTTGCCTTGATGAAGTCCAAACAGCAACCTCTGAAGTATAATGAGAGAGAGGAAAAGAAACCGCATCCCGAAAATGCATAATCCTGAATTCCTGGGATCAGTGACACAGGCTGTGCTGCAGGCATGGGAAATCCCAATCCCTGCTGATTTCAGCCCAAAAGCTCAGGTGTGTGACAACACACCACAGACATGGAAAAAAAAAATCAAACAACTAATCAACGAAACTCACCTCAGCTTTGTTCTGTTTCTCTTCATATTCACTCTGCTCCTTTTCCATACCAACCAACTTAATCTTCAGGTCTGAAACTTCAGCCATCAGATCTAATTTCTGAGTCTCGAGCGATGTGCGACTTAGCAGCTCCTGAAAGCAAAGCAGAAAGGTTTCCCCAGTTATTTGTGTGAGCACTGACAGACTGCCCTATGTTTTATTGGCAGGCCCATATTAAACCCTCAGTTTGAACCTCAGTGTGTTTCTCAAGTGCTGCAGTTATTTTCATCTAAACGTTCTGTGTTAATCACCAAACCACCGTGTCCCACTCCTTATTTCAGGCAAATGTGTGGCAAAGTTAATCCCTGGGCTAGACATGAGATCAAAAACAATACTGAGGCTGAACAAACCCAAACCTCCATAATGGCACATTACAAAAGAGCTGGCGTCTTCCTAAAACACTCATCAGCCAAAGTTATGCTTCAGGATTACCTGGTAGACCTTCCTGTCAAGTGTTATCCAATAAAGGATGGAGTGCAGAATGAGCACCTTAACCCAAACTGAGTAGCAAATGCAAGCAACACCTCTACACCAATAAATAGCAACTCACACCATGTAGCACCTGATGGCTTTTGAGGGCTGCCCAGTGTGGAGGGAACTGCAGTGAAAGAAATGTCCCAGCTGGAGTCTAAAAGGCAGTGTCCAAACTAAGAAGCACTGTAAAGGAGAAATAACTGCTCGTGGCTTTTGCCTGTGTGCCCCAAGTTTGTTTTGCAGATTGCAGAGTACACATGCTTTGGATGGAGTGGTATCAGTGTGTTTGGAGAACGGTCAACATTCACACCTTCACTGAATGTTTCATTTCTCAGGAAAGCCAAGGCAAGAAACCACCCAAAATTTAACAGAGTGTATTACATACATCAAATGCCTCTGTCACCTCTGTTTTCAAAAATAAAAAAGACCCATCAGGAGTTTAAGCCTTATTGAAAAATTCATGATTTATTTCCCAAGCATGAAATTTATTTTTAACAAAAGAATGTAGGCTTCCAAATGGTTAAAAGATTTTTTGATCATTCATAAATCTCATTAGCGTGTTGATCACATGAATCACACTGAGGAGTCACAGCAGACTGTGCTTTGAGTTACATGGCAGTAATTGAACTGAAGTTGTCACAGTTAATCTGTACTGATGTTATTGAGGGATCAGAAATCACCATGTCCAGCAGCCTTTTCTCATCTCTTCCTCTGCCCCAAACTGCACAGTACATTGTAGGCCATGGCTCAGAGAAGCCACAAAGGTTATTTCAAAGATTACAGAGTCAAGGTTCATTTCAAAATCTGCTCTACATGTAAGTTATTTAAGTCTGGTGGGGAATATTGCACAAATTAAAAATAGTACTAAACTTGCATCTGTTTTGCAACACCAATTATCTAAGCCACTATTCCCAATGCCATGCCCATTCCTGCTGACATTGGCAATGATATTTGTGGATGGATGGGAAAATAAACAGAAATGTAGCCTTGTGGTTTTGGCTTTTTTCTTTTTTTGTCTTCTCCGAATGAAATAAATCAAGCCCTAATCAGGAAAAGATAATGCACGGACTTTTTTTAATTGAAAAACTCTAAGAGACAGTCACTTAATGAAATCCCAGGAGGAGCTGCTTTCTACACAGGTGATTACAAATTACAATTGTAATTACAAATAACTCCTCTGTCTTCCAGAAAAACACAAATTTGCAGGAGTTTCAGAGGCACATCTCAGTCCATACTGGAACAGGCTCTGCACAGCTGTTAAGACAGCAGACTGCTGCAGGTTAAGGCAGAGTTAAAAATGGGAGCTTTGACATGAAATAAAGCCACTGAACATCAGAAAGAAGAGCAGGATGAGGCAACCCTGGCCCCAGAGACAGACTCTATACACTCTTGAGCTAAAACAACATTTAGAATTTTTTTGGACACTGACATGGCGCTCCATGATATGGGAGGAATATTTCTTAATAAGGCAAGGAGCCGCAGCATCCCTCTAGGGATTTTAAACAAAAGATCTGTCCTTTGAGTGCACCATCTGGCATTACTTCTTATTTTTCCTACAGACCCCTAAATTACCCTCGGTTATGCAGTGGAGAGCAATCCACACTCGCACTCCTCTCACCCCAAGTTCAGGAGCTCTGCGTGAACGTGGAGGCACTACCAGCTCCAAGCAAGCACTAAAGCAGCTGCTTGGGTTTGCTTTGCTTTTAATCAGCTCAAACACAACTTTACAATTCGCGCTGAAGCCGGGGAATCAGATTTCTCAGCTGGAGTAAACTGGCTTTAATCTCGTGATTTAAAACAGGCAAAGCAGCTAACTACCCCTAGTTTGTTTTCAATGGAGCTCCGTGGATTTCAAACAGCTGACAATCGGCTCTTGCATCCAGAGGACCTAACTTGTGCTTTGAAAGCAAGTGCCGTTTAAAGTAAATGTCTCCTCTTGAAACGGGAACATCTGGAAGCAATTATTCTCATCTTCAAGCAGATGCTCACAGTGAACAGCCCATTAAGAATGTGAACCATTTCGTTACAGAGAAATTATAGTGTATTTCAGCGGTATGATGCAACTTGAATTCAGCCAGAATAAATATGCAATTGTAAGAAAGCAAAATACAAATTTATGTTATTGGTTTGAAAGCAAAAAGAAAAAAGAAAATGTAAGACAGGCAAAATGGTAATTTAGGCTGTAGCAGCTTTAGGAGGATCTTAGCTGAAAAATAGAACAGACATAGAACATATCCTAGGGAGTCTTCTTTAGAAACAAGATCTTTGTGTTTAGTTTTCAAATGTACTATACATTATACAATGTAAGTGTAATTTTCCTTCTTAAAGATCTTTTTCTAAACTCAACTTTTAACTTTAAAAATTGAGGAGGCATGCAGAAGTGGTGATATATGTGTACCAGACAGATCAAAGAGTAGCAAACTATTTCCAAACACAGCACACTTTTTAAAACTCACTGTATACTCCTAAAGTACTTAATCAACCTTTCCAATATTCCCAATGAAGCTGTAGCCAGTGCTGCATGTCTCACTCTCACATTTAGTTGTCTTGGAAATACACAATTCTTATAAAACAGTTTATAAAATGTAACATGACAGAAATAGCTTGACAAGAAGACACTATAACTTTTTAGGCTCTCAGCTGCAAGTACAGAAAACTCCAGGATATTTAGCTCTCCACAAAACTGAGGAAACAGTCATGCCATACACTGATTGAGAAACCATAAGCAAGATTTTAGTCAAGTGAGGAGAGGAAAGATAACACCTCTAAGATCCCATTTTGCTATTGCACACCCCACAAACAACATTTGAAAAAAACCATTACTTTTCACCCTTATTATAAACCTTGAGAGAGACAGACAGACAGACTGACCAATCTACCTACCTGGGAAGCCAAACGCAGCCAGAAGCCCCCCTAATGAGGGCTGCACTTCTCAAGAGCTGTGTGTCAGCTGTGGCAGAAATAGGATATTTGCTTAGCTGGAAGCACAGCTGAGAGCGATGTACGTGTGCAATCACCATGAAATGGTGCAAGGCAGCAGCAGGCAGGGAATTACAGCCCTCCAATTCATCATTTGCCCATTATATGGTTAAGGCAGGGAGAGGACAGAGCTTCCCATAGCCCTGCCAACTTGACCAGCCCTTGGATCTGCTCTCCCTTGGATCCTGCCCACGTTAACTCCAAAAGAGCAAAGTGGAGGGCTCACCTGGAGAGATAGAGCTGCACAGCTTGAGAGCATGCTCTGAAAACCTCAGAGCTCAACCAGAGCAGCACAGAGCACACTTCAAAATCTGAAACACTAAGCCAGCTGCTGGCAAGAAGCTCCTGCATGCTATAAACAAGTGCTGAAATTCATCTAAGATCAGATAACTCAGGCAACTGAAAGTTGAAGGAATGGTCTTTGCCAGCCAGCAAAGTTCCTGAGGAGCAAACAGATACACGCCAGATTTATACCCTGCAAGCAAGGCAGGATTCTGGCTCCCCTGAGCATGAGACAGCTGCAGAACCAGAGCAGGTACACATTGAACAGGGCTGGATTCAAGTTCCTGCTCTGACACAGCTCCTCCCTGCAGACTTTTAATCCAGTTTTTTAAAAAGGTTCTCCGCTGTCTGGCACACCTTCCTCTGGCCCTTGCACCCAGACAGGAGTGGGCCATAAACTGACACAAGAACAGAGATCCACTCCTGTTTACACCCAAGCATTTCAGGTTTTGTGTGTATTTTTTCATAAGGCACAAAGAATCCTAAAACCAAATCCTTTGTACTTTTCAAGAGAATTCACTTGATTGAAGACACAATCGTGCTCACACAACAAAACTCTCCAACAAATCCTCTAGAATGTGTCAGGAATTATTTGGAAGGCAAAAGGACATGGTCAGACCACATCTAGGATTTGGGATTTGGTTCAGGTCAGGTACAGGAAAGACTGCCCCTCAGACCAGAACTGTCCTTTATAGAGCAAAAATTATTTCTGTTTCCAACTCTACAACACATTGATAGGACATTCCCCCAAGGCTCTCTCCCTTCTCCAAAAAAAAAAAAAAAAAGAAAAAAAATATTCTTTCTTAAAATTGGCTGGAAGAAAGTACTTAGTAATGCCACAAAGTAACTTACAACAAGACACACACATCATTGCTCAAATTTGCTGTAACTTCACAATTTAAAGCAGTTGATATACCGGAAATGGGCTGTCACAGCATAAATTGTTTTCCTAGGATAATTCTAGGAAGTTTTTTTTTTTAAATTTTACTTCTAGACATCTCCTTTACAATGTGCCAAGGGGAAAGGCAGGTAGATGTTCACACAGGCCAGACTTTCCATATCCTTCACACATTCAGCAGTAGCACAGACACCCCACTGGAAGGTAATTCCATGAAATTAAACTTGTGCCTTGCTGCCAGCCATGTTGCAGAACATTTTCTGTTACCAAAGATGACCTTGTTTCTTGGCCCAAACCTGAATTACACTTCAGGACTGAATTAAGGTTTTGCCATTGACTTTCATGAGTTTTGAGAAGGCCTGATTCATTTTCTTGAAGGAAGAAAACCCAGACACCTTCAAGGTGGAGAAACACTTTTCTTCATTACAACCTGTGGTGGAAAAAGTGTCCTTACAGAAGTGAAACGTTGCGTTTGATGCTTTAAGCATCACATTATCTGTGCACACCAGGGCATCTCTGCCACACAGAGGATCCTCTCAGTGAGGACAAAGCACAGCTCTCCATTGCCCTTCTGCCACACCTTCACCTTTCCTGTGAGCTGTTTGGCTCAGCCATCACAAAAACAGCCCCTTCCTCCCAAAGCCCAGGTCAGCTTTCTCCCAGGCGTGGAGGAGGAGGTTTGCTGTGCACGGCAGGCTCAAATCAGTGGCAGGAGCAGCACGGTCAGGAGGAGGGAGAGGGATGAAAGCAGAATCTTTCCTCCCTTCTCCTCTGCTGCTGCTACTCCACATTCAAGATACCCACCCAAAATGCTGAACAGCCACTTCATGTTATTTGTGTAACTTTTATTCCAGTTGCTGTTTCAGAAGTGGTTCCACGATCGCTTTGTAGCAGGGTTCAAAACAACGGGGCATAAATCATGAGCCAGAAGGATTTTTTGCCAGTAACCCCACCCTGACAAGTCTCTGCTAGCACAGATTCAGCAAAAACTACTTTGCAGGGTGGCATTAGATACCCTTTCTGCTGTGGAACTTCCAGATATCATCATTAGGTTATCTTAAAATTTATAGGTTTTTTTATTGCAGCATTTTTTTTGCACAGAATTAATTATGAGTCACTCTTCTTTTAGTTCTTGAAATTAAAAAGACAGGGCTTTATCTTTATTGTTTCATTTTCCACTCAGAGGAAGCAGCTGACTTAAGTTCACAAAGGAAAAATCAGTGGAATTCAAATATATTGTAAATAAGAAAGCAGAACCATGAAATAAATCTGAATTTAGATTACACTGCCTCTCAAGAGGGTAACAGAAAGCATTCTGAAAAGCAGGACACCAGCAGCAGCTGCTGGCTGAGAAGATCTGAACCCAGATCTCCCCAAAATCTGACTGATTCATCTATTGAAACCCCTGAAACCACACACTCACTCTACTTTTGACAAATTATCTGCAGAAACATCCACTGGCCACATATCTGACATGAATGTCATCATCACCACATCATCAGGTCATTCTCTTCTGCCCAAATCTCAGCTCAAACCCCACAGAGGATAATCTTTTCACCAAGAGATGGAACGGAGAAGTGAATGGAGAAGAGAACCTTCAAAATAAATGATATTAAAAAGGATCCTCTGCTGAGACAATGAATGCACAACTTCTCTGACTGCTGAGAGATCCCACTTGGGTTTCCCAAATCTCACTGTCTACTGGGAGAATCAACAACTCCAGCTGCTCAAAGTTATCCCAAAATTTAGATTTAAGGTTTATTTTAGATACATCTGGAGATTCTCTGACTTCTTTAGGTTTGGTACATCCTTTTGCAGTTTATCACTTTAGGATCAGCTTTGTAAGCAATTTGTGCACGTGCCTGAGGCCAGACAAGCAGATGCAAACATTTTCACTGAAATGGCAATGTTCCTGCAGCATTATGTTCTAATTTCAGACACCTCAGTGTTCTGGTAAATAAGGCTTTAAGTTCACAGTTTCCTCAGAAGACGATCTGGGAAAAAAACATTTTAAATCAGAGAAAGAGCAAGCAGTTTTAGCAGAAGTCACAGAACAAAGATCCAGCTTTAGACTGGAACAGGGAGCTTCTGCACTCTGTTGGGAATGCCTTCCTGGAGACTGAAAACAGATTTTCATAACCTAAATAATCACTGTTCTTTGAGTTCTAGAAAATACATGCGCTCACTGTTTGCATTTTTAAAGCTGTCCCCTCAGAATACAACCTTGCCCAGCTGGAAGTATTTTGGACTGTGTGAGATGGAAGGTTTTTTCAAGAAGCTCAGAGAATTATAATTTAAAATGTTTAGAATACAATTTTATCTTATAGAAACTGCTGCTGTTTACATACATATACACATGGATCCTTATCATAATTTAAAGCTATGATTAGTTCATAAAAAGCTTGTGTATCTCACATGGACTAAAATAGCAAATTTATAACCCACAATATTTGTGTGGGGAGAAAAACTAACCTCATAGAGAACAGTATCTATCCTAAAAATTTCTGACATAGATTTTTGAGGCTTATTTACAGTTTCAAATTAATTTTTGGTATCTATGTACTGCTTTAGCAATGGATAATTTGCATCTACAACCACAGAAAATTGTACAGGGAAAGAACTTCGGCATCAATAGACCTGCAAGTTCTGTAAGGTATTTAATTTATCATTTGCTCTGCTCCCTCAGCAAAGGACATCAAAGAGCACAAATTAAATCACATAGCCTGAAACTGTTGATTCAAATAAAGAAAAAATGTCCTTATATATTGATTTTCTCATCTCAAACTAAGGGGAAAGCTCCAAAGTTAAGCAAAAATGGTCATAGAACAGAACTTGATACAGTAATTCATTCCAAATTGCTGCTTGTTCAACTTCAAAGCCATAGGAAAACAGAAGGCATTTAAATAAAACTTAAAACAGTCTTAATTCTATTACTCCTACATGTATTAGATACATTTAACCTGTCTAACCAGTTACTCAGCCGTGTCCAAATAAGCACAGCTCAAATAAGACACAACAGTTTCATTTTACACGCTGCCACGTACAGCATTATGCAACCAGCCAGTAAAACTTTTCTGCAACAGGAAAACAAAGAAACATTTCTTGGAGGGGAGAGTGCAAAGCAGGAGGAGAACAATGAAAAAAGAGATTTTTCCTTCCCTGTCTTATTCTGTTGCCAAAGGCAGTCACACATGCAGAGAAGCTGACCATGTGTGCTCACCTGACCTCTGGAGAAGGTCTGCAATCCAGATTTTTACCTGTTGGAGCATTTCTTCTGTAGCATTCAGCTTCAACTGGTGCCCCTCCAGACAGATTTCTAAGTCCCGGATTTTCTCTCCTTGAGCTTCCACCTGGTCTGTGAGAACACTCACCTGCAATTTGAGAGGAGAAGCACAGTGCTACTGAACTGACTGGAAATGAGCTTCAATTACCTTATGCATATAACATCCAAACGCACGTTTTGACAAGAAGTTCCCTTTTAAAGCCCTCAAATGCTTTAATATTCTTGTGCACTGCAGCAACCTGCTCTACACCAAGAGAGAAGTTTTGCAGTCTTACCTCTATTTCACTCCAACCCCGCCCTCCCATCTCCCCTCCCCTGCAACTGTTTTGTTTTGATATAAAAAAAGAAAGGGCATTTCAAGGAGAGGTGGAATGCTACCTATAGGTAGCCTGGGTCCCTTCATGCAAAACTCTGGAGAATTGGAAAGGAGCAAGCAAGAACAGAGCAGACTGGAAATGTTTTATGTGGTTTTGGAGCGTGCATTGCCATTTCTGGTTCTGCTGGCATTTCACTCCCTAAAACAGATAAATAGGAAAACTGTTCCTTCCCAACCCAACCAATTACTTTCCTTCTTTGTTCTTTACAAGAACAAAACTTTATTGATAGATTACCTATCAGTAAAGAGTTCTGAAGCTATGAAGAATGCAATGAGTGAAAGGAAAGTTTTAGCTGTGGCAAAGTTCTATTCCAACAAAGAATCCCAGGCTTTGGCAAGCCAAAACATGAAAGCAAAAGCAGGGAGACACAGACAATGAACCCCAGCAAAAGAAACAATGAGCAATCCTGGTAAAGAACTGTGGGTATGGTGGTACAGAGAAGTGAGTGTGCAATAAAAAAAGCCCAGTAGCTGAACCCAAATCTTGCAAAGCAAAAAAAAAAAAAAAACCTGCACCCAGGCTAATGTTAGAAAGATATGGAAAAATCTCAGGGATAAATCTTATGTTAAGGAGACTATACACTCTGTATATTCATTGTGATTATTTGTTTATAAAAAAAGTCTTGATTATTCTAGAAAAATATTATCTAAAACAAACAAAGGAGCCCAAGGTGTTTAAACTCCATTTTGAAGAAAATGCATTAACAAAAACTTATGTATGCTCTCACATCTGACCGTGTAACACCTTTATTAATAAAACAAAACAAAAATGTACAGTATGTGGAAGTGACACTTTTAAGATATATCCACTACACAGCATGTCTAAAACCCAATGAACAATTGAGTTCACTTCAGGGAAGCTGCAAAGGGAGATGTGTGTCTTTCTTTTACTTGCTGACACAATGCCAAGCATGCCTGGGAAAAAAAAAAAAATCACAGAAAAAAGAAAGAAAAGGAAAAGACTATTATTTTTTCTATTAAAGGAGTTGCCTGTAGCTTAGAGTATAGCTGAGCTCAGGATGAGAGGTGATAGGAAGGAGTGCATGGAGGCAGATGGCAGGGGGACACATCCAAGCTGGGGCAGGAGAACTCCCTCCGAGGAAATCTTTTGCTCATCTACTTTGTTCTGTTCCCATTAAATGAAGGATGATATACAAAAATCCTCATGTGAGGCCAGAAGGCATGAAGAGACAAACTGAATTCTCTGCTTCAGCGTGATGCAAGTTCCAGAGAAAGAAAACCAGCTTTACTTAGAGCTTTAGGTTGGGTTTAAATACCATTGTAACATGGAAAGAAAGCTCTGGATGTTATATGTGACCTGCAAATGAATTTAGTGAAAGCTTAGCAGCTTTGGAAGCATGTGTTGTGTGTTCCAGCAGCTGGGCGGAGAGGCACATCAGCCACTTGGAGCTCATATTTTCCCCTCTTTCCAGGATCATATCTGCCAGGCTCTTCAAGGAACCCAGAACAAAATCCCAGTTCATGCTAAGCTGGCAATTCCATCTTGCCTTAGGAGTCTTGCAACACCTGCAAGACTCAGCCTGCAGGCAATATATTTTCTGTAAAAGTGAGGCGCATCGAGCACTTAGCTAAAAATGGAGCGTTAGGAAGGTTTGAAAGTCTGAGGCCAGGCTGGAGTGCTCCCAGCCTCATATTCCCTCCAGATCATGAAATTTGAAGGAAATGAAAGGAAATTTCAAGGAAAGGAAATTTCAAGGAAAGGAAAAAGGAAAGGAAATTTCAAGGAAAGGAAAAAGGAAAGGAAAAAGGAAAGGAAAAAGGAAAGGAAAAAGGAAAGGAAAAAGGAAAGGAAAAGGAAAGGAAAAAGGAAAGGAAAAAGGAAAAGGAAAAGGAAAAGGAAAAGGAAAAGGAAAAGGAAAAGGAAAAGGAAAAGGAAAAGGAAAAGGAAAAGGCATAAATATTGTTTGATGGGGTTTGGAAGGGGGGTATTGTTTGGGGTTTGATGGGGGGTGGAAGTGATGGGAGTAAAATGCAAGAGAGACATTTTCTAGTTCTGATTTTAGTCAATTCCTTCTAAGACAAACTCTAGGCAGGTCCCAAAAGGTGTCATAAACCCCTGTGTTTTGTGCATTGGGCTGGCTACTCCCCTGGGTACCTGTTTGTGTGGATAAAGAAATGGTTCCTGAAAACCTGCAGGACAAAGAGAAGAAGAGCAGAGCCTGGGACAGTCTGCAGGGTCCTGTCAGCACTGGGCCTGTCAGACCCACAAAAGCTGATGCACAGAAATGTGGGGAACAAAGGAGACCCTCACAGGGGCACCAGTCCCACCTCAGCTCTGGATGGAACACCTGGATGTGGCCCCCTCACTGTCCCTCCACTCATGAGCTGCTCATGCATCCAAAACAGGAATGTGCAGTGAGAGAAGCTGTTTGCTTTTACTAATGGAATCAAATTTTCAGTGTTAACAACCACTTGGTTAATAAATGGTGTTCTAAATAAATATAAAAGATGTTCCAATAAATACCAGTTGTAAAGAGAATTTGTAGCACACACTTAAATTCCAACCAGAAGATTGTTTTTCAGTCAGGTGGGGTTTTTTCCCCTAAATTTGGTGATAGCAATTTAGTTTAACAGTAATGGAGGAAAAAAAAATCCTACCAAGCCAAAGCTTGTGTCTCAAAGCATTTATTGTTTATTTAACAACAGCAGTGAGGTTTCTGCTCAGTAAATGAACACGAGTGTGAGCAGAACATACAGGACAAGACATGTTTACAGAAACTTGTGACTGAAAGCAGGGAGAACACCTACCCAACACACTTCAACTTTGTTTGATATAAATATAATGTGCTTATAATATGCATTTGAAAGCATGAAGGGAAAGGATATGCAAAGACCATTTAAATTATCTCCAGCTTCAGGTTTTTAAAAAGCATGCAATGTACAGTTTAGTGCCAGCAAAAATACACAGAAAAATAATTTTTTTTGAAGTTGTGCAACATGTGTTTTCTCCAGGAGGAGAACTTACATGGGACACAGGATCTGTTTGAAAAAAGGCTTGGTAAACTGAGAAACAGGAAACCTGGAAGAGCTTAGGCATGCATTTTACTGTCAAATTTTCTCTGTCCCTGTTTCCCTCCCCCTTAAGCTTTTAGAAGATGTAAACAATTTTGGTGCAGCATATAAACAGGAAAAAATGCCAATTCCATCTACCTACCTTTTAATGATCTTCTGGTTCATTTAAAAAAACAGTGGCATACAGAACCCAGAAAATTGGCACAAGCTAGCAAACCTAGAATGAGGACCACCATCCCAGCTGTAGCCTGGGACAGAATTATTTTTAATCCCTTTGCCACTCCCCCCCACTTTTACTGCTGTTACACCCCTCTCCTCCACCAGGTTACCCCCACCATGGAATCATTTAGAGGGATTATACAAATTACAAATTAATTCCTGGTTTAATATCAGCTACATTTGGTGAGCTGCTAACATTTTTTTGACAGAAAATATTCTGCCACTTCAGCTTTTATGTGCTGGATATCAATTATGCAGACAAAATTCTTCTCTCTTTTGGACATACCTGAAGGATGAGGGACTCTTTATCACCCTCTAATCGTGCCAGCCTTTCTTGATAAGTTTCATTATTGGATGAATGATGGTTCACCTGTGACTGGGAGGGAAAAAAAAAGTGCTGCGAGAATTTTTACAGTTAAAGTTTCAAGCAACAATTAATAAAAGTTTTGTATATTAAGCAGTTCTTACAAGACAAAAAAAAATGAAAAAATGTGTGTATAGATCAGAACTGTTTATTTCATGTGTATTAAGCCTGTAATGTACATTAAAAAATAATGTACATTAAGAATGTACCTTTTTTAAGCTGTATTCTGAATACTCTCTCATTTACAGCATTCAAAAGTGGTCAATGAATATGACTGATATTTTCTAGAAAGTTGTAATTTCAATGGAGAATACCACCTTATTGAAACAAATCCCATTAAATTTGAAATATCTATTCTCCACAGTAATGAATCTTGTATTTATTGTCAAGTGGTAAAAATTGCTATAGGTGTATTATTCCTAGAAATTACTGAAAGAAAATTACAAGTTTTTTGTTGGCAACTAAAAATTTATTTAGGGGATCAAATTCTTATCAGGAGCTACTTCAGCCACCCAATTACTTAGGGGCTTCTAAAAGGCTCTAGGGAGCAAAACCTTTTAAAATATGGCCTGTCCTTAACTCTTATACCCCATTTCCTATGAATTTTATTACTTCACATAGAAAAGCCACCATTAAAAAAAAAGTATGTGTGGGTTTCTTTTAGTTTAGAAGAGTCTCCTCAGTTCATCCTGCAACATTGTGGGAAAGGAGCTGCTTGCTCAGAGCATCAAAAGCAACCTGAGCCCCCAGAGGTTGATTTCCCAGCTCCACTGCAGGCACTGCATTTCTGCCAGGGAACTCAACACTCAGCCTGGATTTTCAGCTCACACAGGAATCCAAGGAGCTCCCCTCCACTGCAGCTGGCTGCTCATTTATAGTTACTTGCACAATGGCACCAATACAATTATAATCCTCCTCCCCAGATGCCCTTTCTTTTTCAACTCAACATTTGTGAACAGATTTTTTAAAAAAAAAATTAAATATATTTATAGCTTCTTAATCTATACTGAGGCCAACAGGCCCAAACCTAAAACAAAAGCTGAAAATAAACATGGTGCTAGTTAACTCAAATCAAGAAACCACATTTTTATCCAATCAAAAGACACTTTTCAAGCCATAAAGTGCTGAACTAGATATAAGTGTGGCAATGAATACAAGTGTGGCACCTTTGTAAGCTGAGAGAAACCAAGCACCCTTGTCTCTGATAATTTTGAAAGAAATTGAGAAGATCACTATGGCACCAACAAACAGGGGCTGAAAGATGTCTGAAGAGATCTGGTTCACTATTCCGTCCTAGGGATAATGGATATTTGGAATATTCTTGTTTTGTCTTCTTCTAAAGACACCCAGGGATGGAACTCACAGCTCCTCCATCTACTTCTTCCCTACCCATCATGAGAACATTTTTCTTTGTGCTCAATCTGAATCATCTCTTCAACTTCATGGTTATCACACCACCAATAAACTAAAACATAGGTCCTTCCATTCACTTCAGAGATTTTTTATACATTTGAAGATTATCTCTACATCTCTAATTAGCAGGTCCCTCTTCATGCTGTGAAAGAAAATATGAGTTTTTCTGTCTTTTCCTCAGAGATTAATTTTTCAAGATTTGTTTTGTTGCTTTCTTTTAGTTCCTCTTCACTGACTATTTCCCAGCTTTTTCTGAAATTAAAGGCTTAAGAGGAGACACAGGACTCCAGCTGAAACTGGCTTGAGTGGTAAAACCTTTTCACAGACTCCTGGGCCATATTTATTTCCATATTAAACATACAATAAAATTCATATATTTTCAGCCTAGGACCTATAACTTCCAGATCCTTTTAAAATGCTTTTATTTAGCTGCCAGCCCATTCTTCATTCTGCTTTTACTCTTTTTTTCTGCTTAAATGTATAACTTTGAGCAAGTCTGTGCTGACTTGCATTCTATTTTATTTATACTCTTTTCCCGTGCATCTGGCTCTTATGTTTTAACCATAGCTGCAAGGCCCTTAACTAGAATCACCTCTAAATTCAATAATCTTGGTCTTTTGTGCCTGTTTAAGGGGCCAGCAGGGACACTGCAAACAGAATGTGCAGGTGCTCACTCCACACCTCACTTACCAGCACTCATCATCAAAAGATGAACGTGTAAACTCTACTCAAAATAAGCTTTTGTCACAAGGTTTTGACCAAGTTTTAGGGATCAAGACCTCACAGAAGTGGCTCTAAATATGCAGGCGTGAGGTCAGCCAGAAAGGCCTCAGATAAGCACAGGAAGGTACAGTAGACAGAAAAATGACCTGCTAAATAAAAGTGTCTGATTGATGTACAACAGTTGTTTGAGCCTCAGTGATTCTTTGTGGCACGTATAAAGACAAGATAAAACAGTGTAACATGAACCAAGGCCATCTGTGGATGGCTGGGGAGCATTCTGCAGTTGTGAGAGCCAGGACCGAGAGGAAACTGAGCAAGATGTCACATGTAGCAGCAGAAAATAAATACAGGACCCACAGCACAAAAAACACTAGACCACAGCTTGCTCTAAGAGCTCCCAAACAATAAATGAACACTGGTCATGTGGTCACACAGGTCTAAAAGGCTGAATTTGCAGGATTTCCTATAAAGTTGTTACTTCAAAAGATCCAGTATTACTGACCAAACTGTTGCATGGGCTAGACAAATTATAAGCCAAATATGTTAACTATGCCTCCTCCAATGAAAGAATGAGAGAGATTGCACAAAACACATAGAAAAGTTTATGATAACAAAGTAGAAGGGGAGATATGCTAAGGCAAGGTAGCTAAAAATATGCTGATGGCAGTATACTGCAGATAGAAAATCAGCTGCATGCCATAAATACTTTGCCTACAGGAATCATAGAATTCTTAAGACTGCAAAAGAGTTTTAAGATTATCAAGTCCAAGCAGCACCACCACCATTTTCACCATAAAACAATGTCCTCAAGTACCACATCTACAGATTTTTTAAACTCTTCCAGCAATGGTGTCTCCAACATTTCCCTGGGCAGTCTGTCCCCATGTTCTACAACCCTTTTTGTGATGAAATTTTTCCTAGCATCCAATCTGAACCTGTCATGGCACTATTTCAGCCATTTCTCTCATCCCGTCCCTGGTTGCCTGGGAGGAGAGGCCGATCCCCACCTTGCTCCACCCGCCTGTCGGAGAGTTCTAGAGAGTGATAAGGTCACCTCAAGCCTCCTTTGCTCCAGGCTGAACATCCCCAGCTCCCTCAACTGCTTCTCACAGGGCTTTTACCCTCCAGACCCTCCCAGCTCCACTGCAGCCCCTCAATGTCCTTCCAGAACTGAGGGGCCCAGAGCTGGACATGGCACTCGAGGCCTGGCCTCAGCAGTGCCCAGCACAGGGGACAGCCACTGCCCTGGCCTGCTGGGGACAATATTTCTGTGCCATGGGCCTGCTGGGACAATATTTCAGGTGCCTTTGGCCTGCTGGGGACACTATTTCTGTGCCATTGGCCTGTTGGGGACAATATTTCTGTGCCATTGGCCCTCTTGGCCCCCCTGGGCACAGCTGGCTCATGTTCAGTCCTTCTCAGCCAGTACCCCCAGGTCCTTTTCTCTGCCCAGCCATTCCGTACCCAGCCTGTAGTGCTCCACAGGGTTGTTGTGAGCCAAGGACAGCATCCAGAACCTGGCCTTGTTGAATCTCACACCATTGGCCTCGGCCCATCTCTCCAGCCTGTCCAGATCCCTCTGCAGGGCCTTCCTGCCCTCCAGCAGATCAACACTCCCTCCCAGCTCAGTGTTGTCTTTGTCCTTACTGTGTGTGCACTCCATCCCCTCATCCAGATCATCAATAAAGGCACCAAACAGGGCTGGGTCCAACACTGATCCCTGGGGAACACCCCTGGTGACAGTCCCCAACTGGTGGATGTGGCACTATCCACGACCACTCCGTGCCAGGACATCTGAAGTTTTATCCACTGAAGAGTGACCTGTCCCAGCCATGGGAAGCCAGGAGCTGCAAAGAATTTCTTGGAGCACCTGTATTACAGTCTCCTTAAAAATTCTGAATTTTGGATATACTTTACTGCCCATCAGATGGAAAGAGATATTAACCTAAAAAGTTTCCTGGAACAATTCCAAATCAGCTGTAACTCCCGGTTCTAGAGAAAGAAAAGAAAAAGAAAGCTTTCTTTTCTTTTTTTTTTTTTTTTGGGGGGGGGGGGGTCAAAATGCATTCCATCACCTGCTTTAGCTTCTTCGTTTTTATTTTCCAAATCTCTCTTTGGCTCACTGATTTAATATGAAAATAATATTGGAAAGTTGCTGGGAAGGTCTAAGTATCACTCACATGATCCAGTCATTACTGAGTCCTCTTCCAAGAAAAGGGCTTGAATTTTCCTTCTCATGTGACACACAAAATTTCAGACTTTGGAGAACAACTCAATAGCTTTGATTTAAAATGGGGATAACCAGCAAAAGTGTCAAAGGATCTGGCAAGAAATGTTGGTCATTTGATGTTCTCCTCAGGTGTGCCTTTTCAGCACCAAGAATCTCCAACACAGCTCATCTTAACCCTAACCCCTCCAACTTCTGAGGCTGGTCAGCAAGTTGTGACTCAGAAATTTGTCACCAACACCATGGATCTCACCCTGGGCTGTGGAGAGGGGAGGAGCTGGGAAAAGAAACCTGGCAGTCACTTAAAGTGGTGATTTGTGAGCTTTTTCAACAAGTCTACCGCCTCTGTGAGGAGACAGATTATGTCATAACCCTCTTCTCTTCCTCAGCCGCATGGATCACCTTCAGCTCCACTGATACTTGCATAGGATGCCTGTGGTAATGATAATACTTGTATTAATGTATTAATTAAGATTAGGGACATGCTTGATGTGCTGCTTTTTGTTGTAGTTTAGAAGCTGAAAACAAGGAGGATGGCCAGCAGAGTCCAGGCAGTCAGCTTTACCACAAAAAATGCACTGCATTCCAACACCAGAAAATGCACACTGCATTCTCTCCCCAGTCTATTTGGACTTGACAATATTTACAA